CGGACAACGGCGAATAGAGCGTCGCTTCAGTTCATTCCCCGGTATCTGCAAGAATTCCAATGTCGGCACAGACTGATTCTTTTACCTTTTCCTTCTCTAACTCGTACCTTCAAACACGATGGATGGCAGAAGCGGGAAAAAGGGAACGTTGTGGGACGTGATTGAAGCATCTAGAGAGGAGGCTTCATCGGTTGTTGTCACCTCTGCCGCCCAAACCGCCGGTTTTGGAGTTTGCCTTACCCTTCCCACCGCCTCCTCTCGTCTTGCTACTGTAACCGCTCACGGGTTTCGAGCTCGTTGACTTGCTACTGCTACAAGCTGCGGCTGCATGTGTGTCCACATCAGCCAGTCCATTCTCCAGTGCTCTCACCAGATTCTCGAAATAGTTTTTGGTCACGCTGTTACGAATAAACCAAGAACAATTAAAGAAACATGGGCAAGCTTTTCTGCTTTAGTAGAGAACCAGATAGCAGAGGATTCAAAACTGAAATGGCCTTTAAGACCAACAATACAATAGATGTAACGGGGCAAATGAAATGATTACCTAGTCAAACCAGCTAACTTTGTCCGGAAATCATTGAAATCCTTGGATGGGCCTTCGGCATTGAGAAACTGATTCAGCTCTTTCTCTGCACATTGATGGAGCCTCTCCAACCCCGATTCCGCCTCCCCTGATCAATAACAAGACAAAAGTTTCAGTTTCTTGCTTCCCAAGGAACGAACAAGAACATGGTACACATGACCAGCATGCCCTTCTGCACAAAACCACAGGATCAAAGGTACAAAACCTTGCAAATACTCGAAAAATCGTCGTTTGGCATGCTCGTGTTCAGGCAGGTAATACCCATATGCATATGTCCATTTCAGGACACGCCTGCATTCAATTATCTGCACAAATAGCACTACATGAGAACAGAGATGTTATACAGAAGTCTCACGTAAAATACTTGAAATGGTTCATCTACTAAACCTGAAGCCAGGCCTCTGTGATGAACTTGAGCTGAGATTCTGGTGTGCACTGTTTGTCACTAAGCTTCTCGAGCTGGCAACATATCAAGCGGTTAATCAAGTTCAAATTTAACAACAAGAACACTGCATGAGAAATAGCCAAAATCATTTTCAGTTAAAAAAATTAACATAGAAACGGTATTGCAAGTATAAACACAGCAATTCCAGGCAAGTAAAAGAATAAATGGCTACCAAAGGCTCAGATAAACACAAGAAAAGCTACAAAGGGTAAGCAAGAAACACCGCATCGTTCATTTTAAGACCAAAGAGACGGTTGCAATTAATCCATCTGAATTCGCTTCCAAGAAGAACACATGATTAAGCTAAAGATCAAAGGCCAAAAAGCTTTCAAAAAGCAGTAAGAAGGTAAACAAGACAATAGATCTTACATGCACGGATTGCATTTGCTGCAGATCTGCCATAGCTTTTTGCCTCGACTGCCAAAACACCAAAAGAGACATACATATGATGAAGTCAAGATATGTAAAGAAGCTCTCTTCCATAAGCTGAAGAGAAAACTAACTCTTGGTAGTTCTAGCAGCCAATAAGAGAACATATATAGCAAATATATTATATTTTGCATACCAATTGATTACTAGCCCAGCGTTCATAATAATGGGTGTATCTCTCGAGCGAATTCTTTGCCATCTCTCGCCTCCTTTCGGTCTCGTCATACTAATACATGAAAAGAATACAGGTTTAGAGGGAGAATAAGCTATAAACGACCATCAGATGACGTGATTGCAGAAAAAATATATCATATCCAGAAAAAGTACCAAAGGTCGTACCAGCCCCTCTTGCTTGGCTGCCTCATAACGGTTACAAGCATAGAAACCACCAGTTCTTTCCCCGTGGTCCGACCAAGCACCAAGGCAAAGCCTGAAATTTTATCGATGAAGTCGCTCTTTTTAGTATTGCAAAAATATATAGCAAGACATTGAACAGCAACAATCACAAAGAAACAGCCAAAGAACAGACAAGGAAATAATTCATAAACAGAGATTGACCATTACCAGCAGAATTCATATTTACAAGGCGGTGTGCATGTCATATGCATACAGCCTTGATTCTTTTCAATTGGCCGCTTACACTTTGGACAAGGCTTTGAATTGGCAAGTATCCTGGGTATGAGGACGTAAAGTTTGATTAGCATGAAAAATACGAAAACTGTATATGCAACAGAAAAATAAAACTCTAAAATGCAGAAATATATTCATCTGCCAAGATATATAAATTACATATGGAAAGCACAAACACGGAAAAAAAGATCCAGATAGTTAGACACTATACCAATTCATATTTTCAGATTCTGCGCTGTTCTTTAGTATCCATTTCGCAACTGTACCACAGTCAACAGGACGGTGAGCCTCCTCTGTGCACTGAAATTCAGATTTAATATAGGATTAATGAAAAAATTTTATCGACGAGAGTTACATATATTAGGAGAAAAAAGCAAGTTAGAGGGACTCAACTCCAAGAACTTACATTCCAACAAAAGCTATATGAACATAGGCAGGAAACATCATAACTTCCGGTACCCGCAGCAAATTCAATTGCATACTCACATCCTGGGGCAGGACACCATTTCATCTGAACCAAACAAACAAAGATAACAAATACTGAAAATACCTGATCAATGTATCATTATGGTGAAAGTCCGGAATTTGCAGAAAGTAAGAGGAGGAAACTTTGATTCATTCGAGATTTAGTTCAGGAGGTAGGACTATACAAATACAAGTTCTAGGATATGAAAAACACATAAGCAGTTACACAGCATGGATAGATTTCCTACAACAATATTAACAACCTACAAAGACCAAGTACAGGAAGAAAATCCAGGGAAATTTTAGCAACCTTTTTCCAACATAGTGAAAGCAAAAGGCTCAATGACAGAGGAGAGTCAAGTCCATGAGGCAAAAGGAACAAGTAATTTGCACATCGAGCTTAACTGTATGGTGTATGCATCATGATTAATGAGTTATCTTGAAAACCTTTACCTTTCTGTTGTCTTCAATGTAAGACCTAAGAAAATATCTATCATACTTGTCCTTGTCTTCCTCAGATGCCAGCCTCTCGATCATATCATGTCCAACAGCAGCAGGGCAAGATGGATCTGGACATCTCAGCATCAAACATCCAGGGCCATCATTGATTGTTGTGCTTATGTAGCCTAATAAAAAAACGCAGCATATAAGTTAAGATATGCTCTTCTCACCAAAAAAAAAGCAAACCATTAATTTCAGACAATCCAAGCCATTCAAAAATAAAATTAGAAGACACAGATCTAGTTGTAAATAACTTTACAACTATGTTTGCAAATGCTTCACTGATAAATCAATTAAATAACTATCAAATCTAACCGTCCTGTCTACTGGTAAAAATTCAGATGTACAAGTCTAGGGATGCAGATGGCAGAGAGATCCAAGGCCTAAAAATGGAACAATGAAATGCTTAATGAGGTCTTACACACCTGTCCAGCATGTCGTGCAGAAAGGATGGCCACAAGAAACCGATGCAATTCTCTCAGGAGGGTAGGATTCGAAACATATCCCACATGTAATCTAGATGTGGTATTATTTATCAGTAAGACAAACATATAAGGAGAGAAATATGAAAACCACTCCACACTTCAGAGTCATTGTTTGTAAATGTCATACTTCTCCACCAACGGACGAGGAAAAAATGGGTTTTTCCAATAGCCCAACAGTCCTCCGAACTCTTTCTTCATCAGCAAACCATTCATCGTGAACTTTACTAACGCTCCTGAAATGCCACATTTACCATCGCATTAAGAAACTATGGAAAGCAAAGAGCATGGGCATGAATAATTGGAGCAAAACCTATATTCATAAATATAAATAACGAAAACATTCGCATAGCAAAAGGAACTGTCATTTAGAACAATTTTAAAGAAGGGAGGACATATAGATAAAATTAAAAGACAGGACATGCTGAAAACAATGTAATCACACACACTGGACGTTAAGAGCATTTACCAATGATAGTGATGAAGCAGAATGCTTGCTTCGACTTTGGATATGGAAAGGACCATAGAGATTCTTGCAATATCATCCTTCTGTTGCCTGCGGATATCTTCTTCCTTAAGAACGCCATAACCTTTCTGGAAGGAGGTATATACAACAATAACAGCCCAATGATTAAACTGAACAACAGATCAAACCTTCAATATAAAACCAAATGAAGGGAAAAGAAAATTATGTCATGTCATGCCATAGCTTTCTACACGAAAGCACTTTGTAAGAGCATTATCAGAATTAGCATTCAACTGTCCAACTCTGGACATAAAACAATAGAAAAAAAAACTAAGTGGAACTGAAATTTTATGTATCTGCTATGAATATGATACTAAACCAATGCTTTCACAGACATAACTTTTAGATAAGATCTGCCATAGGTCAGAAGCTAACAATTGAGAACCCAGAGGAAAAAAAACAACTGCAAGGACATCAAGGCTATAAACTAAGACAGCAACTGACAAGGAGTAACGCTAACAAAATGGTAAAAAATTGAACTGGTAAACATTAAATCAGCTCAAAATGACAACAATTTCCAAATTTGAAAAGGCCTGCCGCGCCCTCACTTTCCACTAAAGGATCAACCAGAAAGCCACTAAACACAGTTTTACCAAAATTAGAGTCTTCAATGATAAACAAAATTCGGACCTCCAATATCAGCCAGCAGCTAAAGTAGAATCTTCTAAAGACCATAGCTTCTACATCAATCAGCGACTGAAATAAGCGAAAATTTTCGAATCAAACTCACCTGAGAGCGATGCGAGGCGATCATCGCGGAATCGTTGGTGTCTTCCTCAACGAACCCGTAATCGGGTTCCGCATCATCACTGTCATCGTAGTCCTCGGTCCCGCCGCTGTAGAAATCATCCTCCCCCGATTCCATATCGTGCGCATCGAGCATATCATCTTCGGAATCCATGATCGATCAACTCCCACAGAGAGGAGAAAAAAAACCCCAAAAGACAAGGAATTCGAAGAATTAGAAGAAACTCTCCCTTCTAGGCAAGCTGGAATTAGGGTTTGGGTTCGTGACCAAAGTTTCCTGCTTTGGGTGTAGAGAAGAACAACCACTGGGGAAAAGGACATAAATTTGATTAGAAAATCGTGCAAGGAATCGAAATTTCGGACAATTATGATGCTGGGATTGTTGGGTCTGCTGTTCTTGTAATGGAGTTAGGTCCACTCCAGTAAAACTTTACAGGGGCAATTAAACAAAAAGAAAAAAAGAAAAACAGGATAAAAAAAAAGATTTAACACTATGTAATTCATCTTTAACCAAATAAAAAAAAAACAATAAGTTATCATATTATTACTTGTTAAAAATACAATTTATATAATTATAAAAACTGAGATTAGCAATATGCAACTAATCCAAATGCACATATATACTCTTTACACTTACTATAATACACACTATGGGTTATCCAAGAAAAAAATCAACACAAAAGACAAGAAATTTAGGGTTAGATCATATACTTAATGTAACAGCAGCAAAATTAGCGTATAACTAATCTCAACAGTTGCATCACAACTCTGCCTGCAGTCTTCAGTTAAGAAACTGTCATCTACTGATGATGAATCTGCTCACAAACAACCTGAAACAGATGAAGCTGTAGACAAATCAAGAAGACAAGGGCTGTTTCATCAGATTTCCCTTAATCGGGTTTGTGTTCAACGTTTGAAGAACACAGCAAAAAATGGACAGGACCATAACAAAGAATATGCTTTTGCTTATGGAAAGACGGCTCATTTCATGAATTGATTCAAAGATGGAAAATGCGTACAATGAGGCTGAGGCAAGTTTGTCACAAGATTTAGAAGCATACAGTTCGCCTGACTATCTCTTCTAAGTTGTGCACAACTGCCTGCCACCATCACACACTGTCAAAGTCGCAGTTCTTTTCTCCCCAGTTGCAGACTATAAACCGCAGCGACTTTTCCACCAATCACGATTAATGAATCCGAGCCAATCTGCATAGCACTTCATCTCTAACAACAGATCCTAATGCTTATGTTGCTTGTGGCTTAACCACGGCCAAAGTGGCAGGCACAGTGGATACTTCCATGGTTAAACAAAAGCACTGGGCTGTCCACTCCTGCTAACCCCCCGTAGATAATGGATAAGATGGTCACACCAGAGCAAGAGATTGCAATGTTATTCTGCCATAAACGCTATCAGGAAACATCAGCAACCTTTAGGAGAAGTTGTAAGCAATGAGAGAAGAGAATGAAAACCACGACTATCCTCCAAGAAGCCATGTTTGGGTCCAGCAAAAAACATTAACAGGTGGACATAGTGTGAATAGTCAGTCTATAGCGGGTTTACGTTGATGTGAATGACAGATAAGATTAAGACTAGCTACTTTCCTACAGTATCCAACTCGACGACAATTTACTGATCCAGCCAGTATCTAGGATAACTCAATTCCAGAGGAAAACAATACTGCTTTGACATTTATATCCAAGATCTACTCTAGAGTAATGAGCTTTCTTAGATACCAGGCAATAGTTGGATAATAAACCTATAAATCCCAAATCAAACAGGCTCAGCTACCCACCTTTCTCACTTGATATGAAATTGTCGTCTAGTTTCTCACCTTACATTTCTGCACAATAAATTACTTCAGCACACACTCATTGCTGGATTCAGCTTGTATGTTCTTCTTTTACTACACTTTTCAGTTTATCCTCCTTCACCGAAGCTTTTCGTTTTCCTTGAATGTGATGTACAAACGCGGCAATTATGACATGGAACTTTGGTGGAACCTTGCTTGATGAAGAAACATTTAGACCAGCATCTTTCAAAGCGCGAGCAACATGCTTTTGGGCTTTCAGGAAATGCATATTACACAGTGAAGGAACAGTTGATGCAAGTGTTGGCCTGCTACAAGTTATTGGTCCTGATTGAGCTCTGAAATGTACAAAATAACGACAAAACTGAGAATAAATTCAATAAAGTAATCATCTTTCTAAATAGAAATTTTCAGAGAAAATCAAATAAATAGCTTTCAGTGGATGCCAATAACGTGTGTACATTACACAGATCTCTTGAATAGTTTGGGAAGAGGACACACACGCACAGACAGTCAAGAAACAGTAACGAAATTGATAACTTTGAGAGCTACAAGAGCTGCAAGAACATAAAAGCAAATTGAAAGAGAAAATACGAATTAAGGTTTGAATTTTTTTCTTCTTCTTGTTGATTAACTCTCTGTGAAACCTCAGTTAAGAAAGATAATGGTACAAATTGCCATTGGAGCTTTTAAGGTTTAGGAGATAAATTTGCAGAACATACTTCCTCATGTAAGATCTCAACTGAATAATACACAAGTCCTCAGAAAATTCTACAAGTGAATTTTCTTACACAGTAAAGAGAAATTATATGAATCTGAAATCTGGTCTATATTCTATAACTTTTACTGACGAACTATTCCAACTCAGATTGCACAAATACTGATCCCATCCCTTGGTTGAATGGAAACATTAACATGACCTAATTGTGAAAACGACCATTCTCTTATTAAACATAGTTTACTGTTTGCAAAGCAGACACAGAAGGAGAGCTGCCCATACATAGGCGCTAGCAATCACGATCTTATAATACACTGAATCATATTTTCCATAAGTTGGAGTTCGGGTATAATTCTCATCTTCTCATCCCCTCAAAACCAATAAAACAGAATAAGGGTCATTCCAGTCCAGACCCTTTCTGCAATTGGAAGACGGCTTCTTGAATCATTACACGACACATCGTTTGCAAGGAAATTCCAATTCCTTGTCATTACATAAAGTCACTGCCCAAAGATTGCAAATTTCAGAGAACACACGGGTAAATCGGCGAGCCCATCATTCCCCAGCGGAACACACGCACAAGCCAACACAAGGAAAGTGAGAATTAAAACTCGGAAAAGGGAGTTCGAAGCAAACCTTTTGATGACGTATTCACACGCCTTGTAGAGCTTTTGCTTCTTATCATTGACAATATGCAGGTGACAGAAATTCGTGAGTGCCATGGCCTTAAACTTACAGCCCCCGTACGAGCACCGAGAACAGCTCTTTGTATGCGGATCGCTTGTGACGCCATTACTGCCACCATTGTTATTCCCGTTTTCTCCACATCCTTCCACGGGATCACCGTCACCGGTCTCACCCTCGGGCCCCAGCCTCGGTCTCTTGTTTGGCTGATTCTGTTCGTCCTTGAAAGGACTAACGCCAAACCTCCAGTAATACTCCCTGTACTGCGCCTTGAGATCCTCCATTAGAGCCCAGTAATGGTCTCTATAGACCTTGGAAAGCTGCTTCAGGTGGTGCGACCGGCGCCGGAGAAGCTCCGTGCGTGTGAGGTGAGTGGAGCGCGCGAGGATCTGATCCTCCCGTGCCATCGTAATCGGCGAATTAGCCATCGGCGGTAAGAGGCTTGTGCTAGGGTTAGGGTTAGGGTTCAGAATTTGGGATTCTCCGGCTGCGGCGGAAGAAGGGTGCCGAGGGGGTTTGGAAGTAGAAGGATGTTGCTGAGGCTGCTTGGGAGCAGACGCCATTGCCATCGCACGAGGATCACAGAGAGAGAGAGAGACGTTATCCTTCGAAAATATGATGTTTTGAAGTTTCATTTTTTGAAATTTCCTAGAACAGTATTTGCTGATTTGGATAAAGAATTTGGAATATTCTTTTTCTATATAAAATATATATTTTATATATTAATTGAATGAAACCGGTTGCGAAATCGGTTTATAGTCATGTAGGTTTACTTCGGTTTTGGTCTGAATAATTTGGTCTTAAGTCGGTTTACCAAGTCAGTTATAAACTGGTTTTGTAATCTTGAATCTTGATGATGTCTCTCTCGCTCTAAAACCCTAGCTAAGCTCTCCCGAGTCTCCCAACTCACTCTCACTCTCTCTCTCTCTCTCTCTCTGTCTCTCTCTCTCTCTCTCTCTCTCTCTCTCTCAAGGGTTTTAGACGCGAAATTCTGATTTCATTTCCTTGGTGCCTCCGATCGTCTCTTCCCTTATCCATATTTTGTCCGAGTCTTCGAACTTACTGTAAATGGATCTGCCTAGTCTCGCCTTGATCCTCCGAGCCGCCGCCCTCAGCCCTAATCCCGATGAACGCCAGGCCGCTGTGCAGAACCTTAATCAGGTTTCTTATTTTCGTTTCTTTTCTTTGTCCCTTGCTGCTGTTGTTTTTGTTAGTTCTTGTCTTTGTGTATCGTGGTTCGTGAAATGGAAACAAACTTAATTGGTTTCTCTCTTCTTGAATTCTGTCTTTCTTCTGTTGATATGTAATTATCCTTGTTTCTATCTGTTCAAGGTTGGATCTTTATAGCTTTGATCTTTTTGTGGTTCAAAACTTTCTTTGATCAAGTTTAAGAACGCAGTCTTTCTTTTTCTTGTTTGTTTTGCAGTTAGAGCACACGCCCCAGCACCTTGTGAGACTGTTGCAGATAGTTGTGGATGGCAATTGCGACATGGCAGTGCGTCAAATTGCTAGTATTAATTTCAAAAATGTCGTCGCTAAGAACTGGACTCCCGAAGAATCTGGTAATTGTTTCGGTGCTCGGTTCAGACATAAATAATGCCAGAAAGTCCTTCAAGATTGTGTTAGAGAAGTTTCGTAACTTGATGTTGCAGGTGAGCAGCAGAAAATTTTGCAAAGCGATAAAGATACAGTGAGGGACAACATCCTTGTCTGTGTCACCCAAGTTTCCCCCTTACTCAGGTAAGCTGAGGTTATCTGCCATCTTTCGGACTTATCATTCAACTACCTGTACTTTTTGGTTTCTGTTTTTGAGGATTTATTTTCTACATGCCATATGGGTGTTCACCTGGCCTGACTTTAAGCATGTGATCGTATGGAAATATGCATATCTCTTCATAAGTATGACTGCAAACATGTGTTTGTAATATGCTCTCTCACTTGGTCTATTCAATCGGATGTTCTTGCATGAATTTGACTTGGAGTAGGCTTACAGTGATTCCATGCATCTTCACATGTGTCTTTATGTGTTTCTGATTTCAGTAGATACTGTAAAGCAAGGGTTACTGAAAGTTCTTTGCAGAAATTGCCATATTTTTCTTGTTTCCTGGCCAGAATTTTATGTAACGCGAAAGAACATCTTACTACTATTTCTTTATTCCTAAATTTCTGATTTCTGATTTCTGATTTCTGATGTAGATCACAACTTGGAGAGTGCCTTAAGACAATCATTTATGCTGACTACCCAGAGAAATGGCCACATCTTCTGCATTGGGTGAAGCACAACTTGCAAAATCCGCAAATATACGGAGCCTTGTTTGTTTTGCGGATACTCTCTAGAAAATATGAGTAGGTCCAGTTCGTATCATTCTCTTTATACTCATTCTTGAGCATATGAATTTATTAGGTTAGTGATATCATAGAAGCTGCCAAGCCACATTTTCTAATATATTTTAAGCTTCTTCAGTTCGGCCTGCGATCTTTTTTTTTCTTTAATTGTTTGTTTTCTTAAAATACTTTGTGATTTCAATAGAAGCTAACTTACTGAATTCTCTGAGTTTTGTAAAGAAAATATTGGTTTGTCATGCAAAGTAAGTGATGAATGACTTACATCATAACCAGCCAAAGCAATCTATCCTCGTACGTTACTTTTCCAACATTATGCCAAACACGTGCTGGCTTTCTAAACAAGCCTCTCTGACTGCGAAAGTTTTGAGTAATGTTCTCTAGAGGCCATGATGTTCATGGGTCTCTTAAAGTATCTTCGCCCTATGAAGTGTAGAGAAAATCCCGATAGGATGAATGGTGTTATTATTTAGTTTGTTTGTGGTAATGTAAAAAAGGAGTGGGTCAGTGACAATCTTATCGTCTTAACTATTTCATTTTCGGTAGATATCTTTCTCCTAAACATATGTAGTCCTTCATCTTGATTGTTTACCATAAACTTTATTGTTCTAGGTTCAAGTCAGATGAGGAGAGGACACCAGTTTACCACATTGTGGAGGAGACATTTCCTCAACTTCTGACTATTTTTAATGGGCTTGTCCAGATAGCAAATCCTTCACTGGAGATAGCTGAATTTATGAAGCTGATATGCAAAATATTTTGGTCATGCATCTATGTAAGTCCTTCTGGAAATGGGTTACTGGAACGTGCCTCTGAATGTTACATTCTGTATCATTTTTACACCTTTATGTGTGTATCTTTAAGTGTTCTATGTGGTATTCGTTTTATCAAATAAAAGATGTGGCATATGGAGTTATGTATTACCTCCCTCAAACATTTTTTTTCCTGCTCAGTGATCCTTTATGGAATCTCATGCTGAGACCTTTTATGTTATAATTTGTGGCATTTCTAACTTTGACTATGTTGGTTCATTTTTATGGAAGTTCATTCCATGCACCCTCTCTAATATTTTTTGTTGGCAGCTGGAGCTCCCAAGACAATTATTTGATCCAAACGTATTCAATGCTTGGATGGTTCTGTTCTTAAGTGTTTTGGAGCGTCCTGTTCCGGTTGAAGGCCAGCCTATGGATCCTGAGCTGAGAAAATCATGGGGCTGGTGGAAGGTCAAGAAGTGGACTGTGCACATCTTAAATAGGCTCTATAGCCGGTATGTCTATGAAGTTGATATCTCAAATAGAAGGAAGTGGCGAGAAAGTTTTGATGATTTCTTGTGGATAATACCTGTGATAGGTTTGGAGATTTAAAACTTCAAAGTCCAGATAACAAAGGCTTTGCACAAATGTTTCAAAAGAATTATGCAGGCAGGATTTTGGAATGCCATCTAAATTTGCTGAATACAATTCGTGTTGGAGGCTATCTTCCTGAAAGAGTTACCAATCTTATCCTTCAGTACCTAAACAACAGGTTTGTGCTACACCCCCTTGTATGTTAGTATTTGAATTTGACATGTTCTGATTTTCTCGCTGATGGGAATTACTTTCCTATTAATCATATTCATTTTACCTGCAGTATTTCAAAGAATAGTGTGTACACATTGCTGCAGCCTCAGTTGGATGTTCTGCTGTTTGAGATTGTTTTTCCTCTAATGTGCTTTAATGACTCCGACCAGAAGCTTTGGGATGAAGACCCACATGAATATGTGAGGAAAGGTTATGGTAAGTAATAAAACATATCCACTTTCTTAGCATATCCGAGGGTATCTGGATGTTTAATTTTTTTTTTTTTGGTTGTGTTCCAGATATAATTGAGGACTTGTATAGTCCACGTACAGCATCCATGGACTTCGTAAATGAGTTGGTCCGAAAACGTGGGAAGGAGAATCTTCCAAAGTTTGTTCAGTTTATTGTTGGGATCTTCAGGAGGTATTGTATTTGAACTCATCTGGTTGGCACATCTTGGACACATTTGTTGTCTCTCTTTATTGAACGTGTTTCTTTATCTTCAATTGTGACTAGTTATGATGAAGCTCCAGCGGAATGTAAACCTTATAGTCAGAAGGATGGTGCACTACTTGCTGTTGGAGCTCTTTGTGACAAATTGAAACAGACCGAGCCCTATAAATCTGAACTAGAACATATGCTGGTGCAACATGTTTTTCCTGAATTCAGTAGTCCTGTCGGACACCTTAGAGCAAAGGTATTCATGTCTTTAAACTGTGTTATGGGACCACAGATGTTGTTCTTGGTGATCACAATTGGATCTCTGTTTTAGTTTCCTATGAAATTCTTGTGTGCCACAATTTAAGAAAGCTTTGTATCATCGGGAATGTTAAATTCCAGATATTCATGGGTAATTGCTGCAATATATATCATTGCACGACACTTTGGTATATACTTCTTATTGTTTGTTCTTTTTTTTTATATTAATTATTCTGGAACTACATCTGTTTGACCACTGGTTTATAAACGTAGGCTGCATGGGTTGCAGGACAGTATGCCCACATCAGCTTCTCAGACCAGAACAATTTCCATAAAGCGTTGCATAGTGTTGTCTCGGGACTGCGGGATCCTGACCTTCCCGTTCGTGTTGACTCAGTTTTTGCTTTGCGCTCATTTATTGAGTCGTGCAAGGGTGTGTTGTTCTCTTTTAATGGATTTTGTATGCATGAATGCCTTTATATTTGTATATCTGTGCATGTTGATTGTTCATGGTCCATGTGCTGTCTTAAGTGTGCATTTGGTGATTGATTGAAATTATCTGATTAAATCTGCAGATTTGAATGAAATTCGTCCCATCCTCCCTCAATTACTTGACGGTAGGTTATTTTCAAAGTTCTCTGAGTTATATTTTTATGGCATCTTTGTAGTCAATATAATAAAGTAATCTTTAATACAATTACAATCTCTTTGCCTCCAGAATTTTTCAAACTTATGAATGAGGTCGAGAATGAAGACCTTGTTTTTACCTTGGAGACTATTGTGGATAAATTTGGGGAAGAGATGGCTCCTTATGCTTTTGAATTATGTTCAAACCTGGTGAGAATAATGTTTCTATCATGAGTCATAGTTTCCTTTTATAATCCAATTGTGCTTTTCAGTAAAAATGCATCCATTTTCTCCTTGTTCAGGCTAATACATTTTGGAAGTGTATAAACACGTCAGAAGCCAATGATGGATCTGATGAATCGGGAGCGTTAGCTGCAGTTGGCTGCTTGCGTGCCATAAGTACAATTCTAGAATCAGTTAGCAGTCTTCCTCAGCTTTTTGTGAAAATAGAACCAACATTGCTTCCTATAATGCGTAGAATGCTGACAAGTGATGGCCAAGGTAAATTTATCACTTGGAAAGGGCTCTATTCGTTTCTATGAGATAATTCTTCCTGAGCTTTATATGTGTTTGTCAACGGTGCCTTTACTTCTTCTGGTGAAGGTTTATTATATTCTTCTTTTCTATGTTGCTTAAGTTTTATCAGCTGAGTTTATGTGAAATAAAATGATACCTCTGCTAAGTTTTACCAGCATATAGTACTGCACCATGTTTCTTTAATCAAGTTTACTTCAGTCTTCTTTTTCAGTAAAGGTGCAGATATCAAGAAATGCAAATTCGCATCTCGATTTTCTTTCATTTTTTCAATGATTTTTGGTTGATGGATTGTACATAACTGTGTTATATTATGTCTTTGCACTAGCCAGCTGGTTTATCAGCCATATGATGTCTCTGCCATTTATTTTACTTGATGGCTCATATTTTTGTTTCTTCAGAATTGTATATTTTACTTCCTGTGGTCTTGCTTTTGTTTTCCAACTATTAAATAGTGAGTACTGAACTGATTAAATTTTATCCTGTTTTGGTTTGGCAGAAGTGTTTGAAGAAGTTTTGGAGATTGCATCATATATGACCTTCTATTCACCTAGCATTTCCTTTGATATGTGGACTCTTTGGCCTTTGATGGCGGAGGCATTGACCGACTGGGCAATTGATTACTTTCCAAGTAACTTTAACTCTTTCTGTGGTCCTCTTCCTTTCCTCGAGCGAAGTGTTTTTCTATTTATGGATAATCTTTCTCTAGTTCATTTTGTTACAGTAAAACTTGCATTTCATTCTTATGACTATGCTCTCTCTGTATCACCCTTTGAAAATATAGATATTTTGGTTCCGATGGACAACTTTATTTCAAGGGGAACTGCTCATTTTCTGACTTGCAAGGAGCCAGACTATCAGCAAAGTCTATATAAAGTTCTTTCAACTGTGAGTATGCCATGCCCTCTTAAAATAATAGTACATGCATGTGATCTATGCTTGTAAAGTTTTGTAAGGAGCTGTAGGATCATGGAAACCTGTAGTACACACGCTGGGAGTGTATAATCTTTTTTCCTCATTGGACAGAACTAGTGGTTATTTTGTGAGTGCCTATAGTTGCAGAAGTTCTATGTCTTGAGTATACCTTGTCAAGCTGAGCAAACACCTTTTACTTGAGCATCTCCTAAATTTCTCTACTTAAATACATTGCACTTATTAGTTCATTTCTTGCTTGCTTTTCTTAATAATTGCTCTTGTTACCTTTGTTAGTTGCGCCGCTTCCTCTGATATGTTTATGCTTTATTTGTGCTTTTACAGCTTATGGCCGACACGAACATAGAGGACAGTGATGTTGAACCAGCTCCAAAGCTTATTGAAGTTGTTTTCCAGAATTGCAAAGGGCAGGTGGATCATTGGGTTGAACCATATATACTACTAACAATTGGTCGATTGCAACATGCCGAGAAGTCATACTTAAAATGTCTTCTTATACAAGTGGTAAGAAATGTGGAGGAGAATCTTCTTGGCCTGCTGTGTTTGATATACAAGTACCCCTTCAATGTGAAGTTGATATGTTAGAGGTGATTTGTTCCTTTTATGTTACCATCTCGTGTATTAACGAGGTGACTCTTGGTGCCAAAAAAAAAAAGAAAAGAGAAAAAAGAGGTTGCTCTTGTTGTTTCGTCTCTATTGTTATGTGTTTGCTTAAGTGCTTCCAGCATTTACTTGAAAGGAGCATCCACTGGCATTTCTACTCCATGTTGACTTTTGCAGATTGCGAATGCGCTTTACTACAATCCAGCTTTGACGCTTGGTGTATTGCATAACATGAGAGTTGGTCCAACAATCTTCGATCTCTGGTTCCAGATGTTGCAACAAAAGAAAAAAAATGGTCAACCAGCAAACTTCAAAAAGTAGTGTTACCAATTTTGTTCACGTTCCTTTTAACTCCTAATTTCGCGTCAGATTTTCAGTTTCGATGAGCTTGATAGATAGGTTTGCTCTTTTTGTACCAGGGAACACGATAAAAAGGTTTGCTGCTTGGGTTTCATTTCATTGCTCGCTCTTCCAGCTGGTCAATTCCCCGATGATGCTCTGCATCGTGTTTTCAGAGCCACACTTGACCTTCTTGTTGCATACAAGGATCAACTTGTTGGTATGTTCTTCCTAGTTATGCTCATGTTTCCTCTAGAAATGTAAGGCTTCTGTTTACATTATGTTCCTTTTCCTTCCTCGTTGCAGAATCTGCGAAGGATGCAGAAGCTGATTATGAGGACGATACGAATGGATTCCAGACTGACTCGGAAGATGACGATGATGGGTCTGACGGGGAGATGGGGATGGACGATGTTGAGGATGGAGATGAAACCGACAGCATTAACCTGCAGAAGTTAGCAGCACAGGTTTGTCTATATGTGTTTATCTAACTTCCATTACCAGAGGCCTTTGTTCCGCTGGGGGTGATTCAACATATTCTGATTCTGTCCAATTCACAGGCAAAAGGCTTCCGCCAGAACAATGACGAAGATGATGAGGACGACTCTGATGACGACGATGATGACTATAGTGACGATGAAGAGTTCCACTCACCCATCGATGAGGTGGATCCCTTTGTTTTATTTGTCGACACAATCAGAGGTAAGGTTACAACTTCAGATACATGATGTTTTCATTTATGTCATAGAACTTCACTTTCTTTTTCTACTATTCTGGTGTTGGGCTCAGCGAATATATAGATTCTTGCCTAACACTATCATGTCTCTGATATGCAGTCATCCAAGTATCCGACGGGCAAAGGTTCCAGAAACTTAACCAGTCACTGGACTTCCATTATCAAGCGCTGGCAAATGGCATAGCCCAGCATGCAGAGCAAAGAAGGGTGGAGATCGAAAAGGAGAAACAAGAGAAGGCTGCTTCTGCTCAATGATCTTAAAGCTTGGATCTTTTTAAGGTCTGCTTTTGGGGTTAGCTTCTAAAGCGAGGCTGATGTGTCTCTGCGGTCGGAAGAGTGTCCTTTTTGGAGTTTGGTGGTTCTTTCTGTCGTGTTGGTCGGGCTCCTTTTTTTTTTTTCCTCTTCTTCACACACTATTGAATTCTGGGGGCAAACAAAAATCCATAAAAAGCTGTCTGGCTGCTGTTGGTTTCACATCTCATTGGGGTTTTCTTTTCCTTTTTTCTTTTTCGTTTGGTGCACATATGTTTTGGTAGGGGTTTTGGAGGGTGGGGTTCCCTCTTTTTTTTTTTGTTGTTGTCTTTGTGCACTTTTTTTTTGGGGGGAGGGGGGGGCAGGGCGTTACGGAAGTGGGAAATTTATAGCATTATGGTCTCGGGGGAGAGATCATGTCACTGTCAGGTTGTAAAACCATTCTTTAATAAAATGGATTGTTCGTTGTGAAGAAAATTCATTTACTCATGATTTTCCCTTTCTCCGAACTGATGCGGGGGAGGCGAGTGTGGGTTTCCCGTTGATCTTCGGATTCAAATTTTGGTTTTGGCCGGTGAGTATCAGGACTTGGGGGCGAGCGTGAATTATGGTTTTTCAATTTGGGGATTAGGGTTTCGAGTCCGTGGGGTTTTTCTTCGTACATTTGTTCACAAAAAAAAAACAGTGTATTATAAAATATGTATACAAATAATTAAATTAATCAAATACATCAATCCCCAGACAGAAATACTCTAGCTTCGATAGTAAATAAACTAAGGAAAGACAAAACTACGTTGCATTGATCCAATGTAAGAATGAATACAAAGCATAGTAAAACCAACTGAAATTTGGCTTTTCTACGAGCTAACAAACAAAAGCAAAAACTTGTGAATAATGGAGATGATAAATAAGAAGGGGAAAAAACAAAAAAAGGAAGAAGAAGAAGAGAATCAAAGGGAAGAACAGCAAGAAGAACCGAACCCTTGTTTGGAAACGAGGTTGTCGTTGTTCTTAACGAGGCTTACCCGATTAACGGTCAGTTCGGCTTTGTAAGTGTCGGAATTGAGTTGCTTCCTGCCCACATTGCTGTATATATCTCGGATCACCATCTCGAAAGCTCTTTTTACGTTTGTTGAATCCAAAGCCGACGTCTCCATGAAGAATAGTCCCTCGGCCTCTGCTAACGCCTTGCCTTCCTCCATGCTCACCGCTCTTATGTTTTCTAGGTCGCATTTGTTCCCTACCAGCATCCTCGCCACCGTTGTATCCGAATGAGCTGGAACATATATATACACATACATATACATATGCTTCGAAACCTCAAATGGGATTAAATGAAGAAAGTGCTATCATGTTTCGAAAACATTCCAGTTATAACTATTCATAATCCTACGCATCAAAGTCTGATACCTGCAAGACTAATGGTATAAACAGCTTTCTATGCTAACCATAAAACGGATGGACCGAGCTTTCTACATCAAATCAAAAGAACAAATGCAGCTAGTTTTTTTTTTTTGGTTAAACAAATGCAGCTAGTTGTTGATCGAAGATGACCAACTTTAGCAACCTAGGGCTCAAACTTGGGGAAAAACATCTCTCTGGGTAGGCGAGTTAAGAAGAAAAAATGATGAAAAAGTTCGAACAAAATGAACAAGTTTTCCGTACAAGGGAGAACGATTAACAATAGGAGACCCTGACCTTCATGGCAAGAATCATGAGGCGGAATATACATATATACCAAAAAGTTTCTATTTTTAGGATCAATGAGATCCTTGGACCTCGAGTCGGCAGTTTCTTAGAGCATCTTTGTCGAATTCAATTTCGACCCAATTTGACAAAAATCATCACCAGACCTTCAGATCTAACCATTCATACCGCCGGACCTATCAAATCCAGAAATCTACCAAGAGACCAATCTTTAGTCATCTCTGCGACCTAACCAAATCCCTACTAAAGTATCATCAAAATGAGCAGGAACTTGTTCTAATCGATCAACCAAATCCGATCAGAAAGATGCACAAAACAACCTCCACAAATCAAACCAAAAAATCAACGACAAACAGAACCTGGAGACTACGATTCAAGGAAGCGGAAGAGTACTCACTATTGAGCTCATCGAGCCAGCGACCGACGCTCTCGAAGGTGGTGCGGCGGGTGATGTCGTAGACGAGGAGGGCTCCGACAGCGCCGCGATAGTAGGCGGAGGTGACGGCTCGGAATCGCTCCTGACCCGCCGTATCCCCAATCTGAGCCTATTGAGCTCATCGAGCCAGCGACCGACGCTCTCGAAGGTGGTGCGGCGGCTGACGTCGTAGACGACGAGCGCTCCAACGGCTCCGCGGTAGTAGGCGGAGGTGACGGCGCGGAACCGCTCCTGACCGGCGGTGTCCCAAATCTGAGCCTTGACCTCCTTGCCTTCGATCTCCATGCTCTGAGTCTGGAACTCGACGCCGATCGTCGCCTTCGAGTGGGCGTTGAACTCGTTTCGCGCGTACCGAGAGAGCAGGTTCGACTTCCCCACCGCCGAATCGCCGATTATCACTATCTTAAAGAGGTACTCTTCTCCTCCTTCGTCCTCCGACGACATCGTCCCCTATTCAATCTCTCTCCGTCCTCTGGTTTCTAGAGAGAGAAACGGAGGAAGCTGGCAAAAGGAGACTGCGCCTGGAGTGGTGTCATTATCACACCAGTTTTTTTTTTTCAATTACCGTTTATATAATTTTCTCGTAATTTTTAATAATGTGCAGACAAAATCGGTGGATATAAAAGATCTTGTCGGTTAATTTTCTAGGAATTTTTAATACTTTTTTCTCATTGGTTAAATTAAATTCAATGAATATTATTTTTTTTTTACATGTGGAGCACAGCTCCCAAACCATAATTTTAAATAATAAAAAAATTGAAAGTGTGGTGTTGTTTGTAATAATTGATTCTAACAAAATACAATATGTAAAAACACCAAAGACAAGGCCGTTATTGCAATAAAAGAAATTTAATTATTTTAGAAATCACCATTTTTACATAACTGCAACTTTTTATTTATGAATGTTTTGGAATGGGCATTGGGCATGGCGGTGCGGTGGGTCATGACGTAGAAAGAACTTTCGGTTTTGTGATTACGAGGTCACATCTGGTCCACGAGTTTCCATCTAATATCTTTGTTTTCATATCTAAAATATATTATTTATAACCGACCACAATTATCATGTGTATAAGTAGAGTTACGTATCATGACATTTCGAACTCTACAAATATTTTAAAAAATGAATCTATGAATATTATAATATTGACAATATTTTTTAAAAACAGAAATAATTTAATAAACATTTTTTAAATGTAACGTTAGAAACTCTCGTTTAAAATATGCAAAATTACTCAGCAGAAAAAAAAATCGGAATTGGCCCCATTATGAGTAACTTCTGTTAGTATTTTTTTAACAATATTATAAATTTGAATAGTGGAATACCCATGAATCTTAAAACTTTTTTCCTGATAAATCTATAAGTTCATCGGTTTTTTAGTCCAATAATATTTTTCAAAGGATCGGAGAAATCCATATAAATGTTTCTCTCTAAGTGAGGATTCGAACCTGAGTTGGAAAGAAGTTTTATTTTCTTTTTTAAAGGCCGAACAATCTAATTTTGAGTATGAATCTTAAAATTTGTGTTAAATAATTTTAACTAAAATAATAAACGATAAACTATATACATGAATTTATAACATATTTGGAAAGAGAGACTTATCCATGGTTTAAAGACCATTATCCAATACAAATTCTAACCTCTTTTTTCATGTAGAAAAAAAAATAATCATAAAAATGTCGGTCCAAAACTCCAGCCTTTGCTTAGGCTTTTAGGGATAAAAAGACATTGAAAGGGTCAAATTTCAGACATCCATAAATTTCATGGCCCCTCATGTCACGATCGGGGCCCTCCCCAACATGTTGCATTCCCATCTGATGGTGACCCACACGTGTCTTTCTCCATAACCGTCTGAAATATTTTCGGGGTCATACAAAATATTTTTTTATTTTTATTATAAAATATAAAAATGGAAATTTTAAAATATTTAAATATAATTTTATTATTAATTATATAGATATTATTTTAATAGTTTAAGATTTAAAATTTATGATTTGTGTAAAATAAAAAAGTGTAAATAAATGGTAAGATATAAAAATGATTTTATATAATAACTTTGGGATTGAATGAGTATATATACAATTATGTTATGTGGATTCATTTTAAATTTATAAAAAAAATTATCATTTATATTAATTAAGGGCAGGACACCATTTCATCTGAACCAAACAAACAAAGATAACAAAGTAAAATTTTGTGATTATTAATGACAATAATTATGAAACTGTGTTTAAAATATAATTTGAATTAGTTATTAAATATTGTATTAATATATATAATTATAAATTAGTATTCAAAAGTTATTTTTAAATATATATGGACCCCACTAAATTGTGGGGCCTCTCTGATTTTGTTAACTCTTACTTCCAAAGATGAATATACAAAGAAGGGTTTCGCATTCAACGTGTGTAAACATTTACAACATCATTTTTCTCCAATTTCATTTAAGATTTCATATTAGAACAATAATATGATATTGGACCAAACATGCAAATGTAACCGCTGCGTTTTGCGTTTGAAACGCAAACATTACGTTTGAGTTTGGTTGAGTCGTGCCGGCCAGCCATGCCTCATGAATACGTACTTACCAATCTCTGTCACCATATTTTCAACAAAAAAATTTCAGAAATTCAAAGAAGAAAGAAAAGAGGAAACTAATTATTGTTCCATCGAATTTGGCTAATGAATCGTATTTTTCGTCGTTTCAAATAAATTTGGTCGTAGTTTAGATGCGTAACAAGGAAAATTGTACGGCCTTGCATGCAATGTGATAAACGCACGAGCGTTTGGTCCAACCACGGCATGAAAACTTCCTCCGGTGTACATACATACGTACGTACGTATATCCGTACGTATGTACATCCGTACGTACGTACGTCTGTGTTTGATGTTTCACTGGCTTAATCGCCATCTTTGTGTTCACTGACTTTCCATTTTTTTTCCTTAGAAACCCTTAAGAAAATATGCGGTCGCAGGACAATCCGTGAGTCCTTTTTTTTATGTGGATTGAAAAAAATTATAAATCAGTTTATAAAAAAAAATTGGATCAGCATCAATTCACTACTTATCAATTCATTTAATTTACATTCCCCCCCCTAGAATAATATTTTTTAAAATAAAATAAAATAAAGATTATATTTTTAAAAATAAGAGGATTATATGTATGTTTTGGAATACAATAAGCAAATATTTTTTTATGATAGAAGTGCCTAAATAATTTGAATCCGATTAACTTTTTATTGTAAACTATCCAGCCGAATAATATATATACATAGATATATTGGATTAATTTTTTGAATATATATTTTATATAATATTTTACTGCAATTAACATTTGTTTAAATTACTTGAAATCATGATAAGAGATGTGGGCGGAGAAATGCAATTTTTAACCATATATATCCAATTTTTATCAAATAGAAAACATTAATATATCTGGGCGGAGAAATGCACGTGCGTGAATTAAAAGATTAGATGTATTTAATTAAATCGTTAACTAAATAGTATTAGTCAGAAACGGAACACCTTTGATACACCATATACACGTCAGCGGTCACGTCACTTTGGAATCGGACAAAACACGCGAGATTTTCGACGTTTTACTTTTCAATTACTGATTTTTAAAAATGGAAAATAAAAATTCAAATGCATATTATTATTTTTTTCATGTTCCCATGGATTTTTATATAAGGTCATTTTCATATAGCACAACCACAATTTAACCGTTTATTTCTGTGCATCTGGATGGATTTACTGAATATCGACTTTTGTTGCTCTTCAAATTTTTAAAATGATATATAAAGATTTTTAAACTGCAAATTATCCAATTAATTAACATGCAAAAACATGAAATATATAGATATGTATTCTCACACTTTATAGAACTTGAGAATCAGTTTCATTTTTTGCTCTAATTTTATATTTACAGATAAAATAATTTTGATTGTTTGATTAGTATTTGCTCTCAAGATCGTAAAGATTTAGCATTTGGTATATGATATATAATTTTAATTGTTATTTCACTTTGAAATTATTAAAAAAAATATGATGTTGATATTGTTTTAGCTTATCAATATTTTATCTAAGTAGTTTCTCACTCACACTACTTAGATAAATTAATTATATACTTTTTAACAATATAAATCTCTGAGATAATACATCTTAATATTATCAAACTCATAAATATGTGATACGCTGGACAGTCCAGACAATACTTATTATTAGTACAATTGATTTGATCTAGCTTGCTATTAATACGATAAAATAGAAAAAAAATTGATTTTTTTTTTATATATAAAGTAGATACCAATTTTTAAAATTTTTATATGAATTAATTTTAATAGTTTAAAATAATTTTAATTGAATTAGCACCATGTGCTACTAATCTAGATCCGGCGACGAACTGTAGTGTTTTGAACTAATATAAAATAACTGTGTTTACGTCAAAAATATAAGAAAAAGGAGAACTGTTAGTCGCATATATACAATTCTAATTACATATTTTACCACAAAAAAAAATCTAATTACGTATTTACAACCAATGGAAACGTAGTAATACTTGAAAATGATACGTAGTCGTACTTTAATATATTTGTTGAATACGTTTCGTATACGTGTATGTATGTATGTATGTAAACACATGTGAGAGTCCCAGTCTTCACTCGTCTTCTCTTTTGTTCTTCCAAGTTTCGAGTTTGACGCACCAAATATATTAATATTTTTTAATCTTGTGAATTCATACATATACATATACATATACGTATATGTATATATATATATAGTAGCGACAGAAACAGTGACAACATTTGTGATATTAGAAACATTAGTAATATATATATATATATATATATATATAATGTTTTTAATCGAATTGCTATTGAAAAATACACAAAGCACAAACATCTTATGTTAAAGAAAAAAACAATTAATGTGGGTCAACCTTTGACCTATATGTCGCGCGTTGAAGAACATTAAGGGACCTGCGCGTTATTAATGATAATTAATTAGAAGATAAATTTCAACACGAATGATTGCGTTTTGTCAAATTCCAAGGACTGTGTATACAAACAACAGAAATTGAACAGGAAAGAACAGATTACTCAATTAATTAATAAGGAAAAGAAAATACTTAGTCCAAAATATTAATTATTGCTTGAAATTATTCTTCTTGCGGGGTCATAATATTTGTAACCATTCAAAAAATAACATATGGTTTACTTTAATTTAATACAATAGGTTTAACCATATACAGAAAAATATAGACTTGGACAATATAAAATTTTAATCACACTTCTCACGCTAAGACACAAATTCTATCTATTTGAAAAATGTAAATTTTTCGTTTCGACTATAACCCGTTACAAAAAGAAAAGTTATAATTAAAGAAGCGTGTAGGAAAATTCACCCTTAATTTGTATTTTATGAAAAAAAATCTTTAATTATTTAGATTCGTCATAATATAATTAATCTTTCATCAACCAAGCAAAGAATAATAATTTTGGCTTAATTAGTTTTGATGCTTCTATAAACCTTGGTATATAACTTGTTAATTTGGATGGGGAAAAAAGGTTATCTCGAATATATACATATATATTGGGATATATCATCGATATGTAAATTAAGAAAAAAAATAGGCTCATATATAACGACCCTATCTTCAAAAAAAAAAAAAAACACACCCTAAAGGTTTTTTTTTTTTGGTATAAACCCTAAAGGTTATGTGCTTGAATCTACAACTCCTACAAAAGATTGTAGTATATCATTTGATTCGAAACCGAACCAAGGAGGTTCACGACGCTGTCGACAGTTGTCTCTTGGAAAACATCATCTGACCAGTTCTGTTCAAAAACTCCACTGCGAAATTGTCACCGGCCGGCAGAGATTTCGAGCTCCTCGGACGATTTAGGAGATTGATGTAAGTCTCCAAATCATGAACGCATGAAGGGTTTTGAACGTCGAAGAAATCGAGGGCGAGTTCGATCCCGACGTGAGCGTAACATGAACAGCTCCATGGAAGCTCGTACCTCCCACCCAACAAACCGAAATTCTCGTTGAAAACGACCCCCGGAAGTTTCGTGATCGGATCGTTGACATTAGCGATCCTCAAAACCCTAACTCCAAGCTCTTCACACCTTTCCTTGAACCCCACGTTACCGACTCTCGGGCCAGCGAAGGAGAAGACTGTCACCGGGGTAACGTTTTCACCTCCCCTAGGTGATTTTCCCCGGTTCAAACCGAGCTCAGATATGTCGTAGGCAAGAAGATGAGCTAAAGAACTTCCCATGCTGTGTCCGGAAAGCGTTATGCTCATTTTCTCGCCTTTGTACGTGTTCATAAGCCTCGAAATCTCGGAGAGAAGCTGTTGACGACAACTCTCTAGGCCGAATCTGCTTTGGCTCTCGTCGGATGTGTACAAACTCAAGAACCCGGATTCGACTTTTACGTCGGGGCGAGGATTATGAGGATCGAGCCTGGCCGGAGTTAACGAGCTCATGAAATTGGCTAACCACTCGGGGTTTGTCACCGTACCCCGAAACGTCACCACTATGTCTCTTCTCCCCAACCGTTTCACCGACTCGTCGGACGAGACCGCGACATATCCGACCCAACGTGCACGATTTGGCTCGTTATGGATCGGGTTGATCATGCTTAAGTTGATGTCAGGAGTGGCGTAGATGTACTTGGTGACTTGGTAATTGTCGGAATTCTCGACCCCGACCTCTCTAAGCATCGTTTTCTTTCCGTACTTGCAGTTCAAGTAACGTTTTGAGTTCTGATCGAGATCGAACGCTCTGTAACAAGCGGAGACCAAGTTCCCATAGCGTGTGATCTCTTGTCGGAGAAGAGGGTGTAAAGGGTTGATGAGATTCTCCCAGTTATTAGATCCTTGGATCTCTTTCCAAACCTCGGACAACTGCATCGTTGCAGCAGCAGCTGTTCTGTCGGAACTCGACGGCGCGTGAGAGACACGCGTCGAAGTAGGAGCAGTAGTAGTAATAGTAGTAATAGCAAGGGAAGAAGAAGAAGAAGAAGAAGAAGAAATAGGCGGTGCCATAACTGAAGAAGAAGAAATAGGCGGTGCCATAACTGAAGAAGAAGAGGCGAATACGAGCCTCTTAGAGGGGAGAAAGGAGTTGCTGTCCATTGGAAGAGAGACATGCTTAAGAAGGCTTCTCTGTCTTGGAGCTTTGTCTCCAGGAAATGAAACATGTTTCACATTAGGGTTTTGGATCAAGGCTTTGGTCGCCATCGAAGGAGAGAGAGAGAGAGAGAGAGAGAGAGAGAGAGAGAGAGAGAGAGAGAGAGATGTGTTACACAAGTAGTGACACGCATCCTCAATGTGAAGAGAGACATGTGAGACATATTTATAAGGAATCGCGAGTCTTCAGGAGTGACGAGTGAAGGACCATAAAAGCACCATATGTTTGGCGAGGCTTTGACCAACAATATAATATTCAAAAAGTAAGTGTCGTTACAATTTATTTGAATATTTTAAGTGGTCGGTTTCTGGGGCATATTGCAATCTAAAAATCGTGGCCGCAATTTTCCTTTCCTTTTTCGTTGATGTGCTTGAGACACTGTTAGAGAGACAGAGACATAATTTATTGTTATTGTTTTACAAAATGAAACATAAAATCCAGCGTGGAATATTTTTGTGTAGTAGTAATATGAAAAACTGTGGCTATAATATCTCTTATGTCAAATCCTTGTTCTTATAGACTTTTGTACCTTTAACGGCATAAAATCCAGCGTGGAATATTTTGTATAATAGTAATATATATTAGGTGCTTTCGATCCTAAGACTATTTAGTGGATGTATATATATAGTGATATGTGGTGCATCACTTATGTTTCATGCATAATATTAATATATGATATAGATTATCTAAATTTATAAGTAATTTCCTCAGCTATTGCCATTTCTCTCTTAAAGAAAATCATTAAATAACAATGATTAGTAGCTTAGTGTGATCCCAAGAATCGTAAAAGATCCTTCCAAATAATCAATACACATAATCGTACGTTTGGTAAAAAAGTTAAATGACTGCATATAATTTAATATATGTATATATATTTCTAACTGGGTTGACTCAATAACCTCATCCCGGTTCCATTAACCATCCGATTTTCCTTTTGACCACTCGTATCATAATTTATTGGATTAAGGGAGCGCCTTAGGCATATTTCCTAAACACGGTTTTTGATATATTATACTCACAGTTAATTTTTATATTAAGCTGTATTAACTATCCAATAAAAAAGATATTTCTTCTTTCTCACTAAACATATATTAATCTCCATCTCCATTAAGTTCATATCCAATTGATCAAATTCATTTTTTTTGTTAGGATATTATAGTGTCTGTGATCCGATTAATGCTTCGGTTTAATTTCAACTCATTGCAAATTTTACATAAATTTTTTTTAGAAAAATGCATGGCTCTGCGCGTAATTGTCTTCATATATATATATATATTATATTAAAAAATTTGCATGCATAATAGCATATATATATATATATACACACATACATTTATATGTGCGCATGTGTATCATATATATAGTAAATATTCTGACTTGCCTGCATAAAAAAAGTTTCGTCCCTACTTTCCAATTTTGGCAACCTGTTCATTTTATAAAATATTTTTCAAGGAAGCAAATTTTAAAATAAAATAAAACGTATCATAAGACGCGTTATGTTACTTTATACATGATTAAATATGTTATACTCAACATGTGTACACTTTATCAAAAACATATGTATACTTTATCAAAAATATATGTATATTCTCCGGTTAGACACGTGAACTATTCCTTATTTATTACACCAAAAAAAAATATTCCTTATTTATTATATTCAATAGCATTTGCAACGTTATCTCTCTATGCCTAGAATCTTCTTTAAATGTGATCACTACATTTTCTTAGTATAGTTACCGAATATTTTCAAATTTATAACAGAGAGAAGAATATAAACTTCAAAGTTGAAAATTATGGATTAGTATAACCAACACATAAACATTGAAAATATATAATAAATTAAAAAAACTGTACAATATGATTATTATAATTAGGGAGAAAAAAAAGAGTATTTTATTTGGTATGCATGACCTTCTTCTGCCTTATATTATGATTTCCGTTCAGATCAAATATCCTGTGGCATTATGTTACAATTAACTAACAAATATAAATAAAGATGAAGAACTTTAGTCACGAGCCAGTAGTAGTACATCAAGGCTAGAAAAAAAATATATTGAAGTCAAAACGAGGAAACATATAATTTTAAAGACATTTCAAGTCAAAAGCAAGCATCCAATGTTAGAAATTGTGCATATTAATACATATATTAATTAAATTAAATACGTATACACACATATATTATATATGATTGAATTAATCGATTTCTAAGGAACTCAAATTAAATCTTACTTAAAAGTAATAGACTATTGAAAAATTTTAAAGAAAAGTTTTTATCTTTAATCAAATTGATTTTCCTTCGGCCTCCAAATGCATTACTATCGATATAATAAGAATTATAAAAACCTCATATATATATATATATAGGTATATATGTATTGGTTAAGTATCCCATTTTTTTTTAAAAAAAAATCACAGCATACAATAATTTCAAAATACTAGAGCCTTTGATCCCCCGTCCAAAATATTATAACGATTATCAATCTAAGCTGATAAATTAGTGCTATTAATACATATATTAATGAGACATTTTGTCTTCGATGATTCGATTTCTACGGTTACATGATGTTTGAAAATTTGAAAATCATGAGAAAAGCGTGTGTTTATATATGAAGAAATTCGTGACTGCCGCGTGATTGAACCCTTTGAAAAGCTGCTTGTGTTAAATTAAAGGTTGTACATTTCGGATTTCGGGTTTGGGTTACACACTATATATTATTTTCAAATATGGATTTTCGTTTTATAAAAATTATACCTATTTAGCTTTTATATAACTTTTAGACTTGATTGGTAATCCTTTCGTGTTTAATTTTTATTAAAAAAATTATTTTGATATTCATTTTGAGTTCTATTAATTTGATTAATGATGAATGGATTTTTAAATCAGATTGAAATTAGTTATATTTATATATTATTTGTTTCGAATCAAGTAGTTTTTCTCTATCCGAATCCGAACCAAGAAAAATGCAGATATTTTCTCGAGAAAAATGGATACAAAAATGGGAAAAAAAACATGGAGGAGAGAATGGTGAAAAAGGCAGACATTTATTTTGTTTTCAACTTGTACGGTGTTTTCCGCAAACTATTGCAAAGAAAAATATGAAATAAAAATGAAAAAGCAGACTATATATATATATATATATATATATATATCATATTATGAGTTTACGCGGCGATGATATGTTTTGACTTTTGGCACGTCAGCACTGGAAAAAAGCACATCGGTTGTACGTTATTTGACTTTCCTACATCCTTGGATCTCCAAACTCTTGTCTTTTTTTTTCCTTCCTCGGGTTTAGATTTTCTGAAGTGTCCAACAAAAAATCTTTCTTGAGCTTTTTTCAAAACGAATCTAGCCTAAATTCTAAATTTAAATTTAAGAGTTGACAAATAACTAAATTCGAATGTCTAGTATTAATTACATCTATGTGCATATATGAGATTAAGTACGCTTTTAGAGTATTATTATACATTGATGTAAACCCTAATTATATAAATGATAGTGCAGTCTTAAGATATAGTGAGAGATTAAATTAAGCATTTCAACGAGTGGTTAATTATATTTACCTCTCTTTCATTCCATTGAGTGATCTTTCAATAGAAATTTATCGAAATTCAATTGAGCAAATCTCTTTATTATTAATATTTCATTTTCTATAATATTAAGACGTTAATATATATATATATATATACACACGTATATGTACGTGCGGGAGAGAGTTAGTGGGGAAAGGGTGGAAGAATCTTTAGATGAGGATTGAGTACATGCAGTTGGTGGGAACTAAAGGTATAGTGTCATTGCATTTTATTATTAACCAAAATATTTAATTTTTCTCGAAAATTGCTTAGTTTAGTTATTAATTACTTTATGATTTAGAATCAAACATTTGTACCTTAACCAAAAAAAACGCACCCTATTGAATGCCTTACTTGAAGTGACCTTTAAACGACATATATCACAACATATAAGAATGTCGTCCATAATCGCAATGACGATTTCTAGTCATATAAAATCGTCGACGTTAAGCTAATAATTCAATCACAATTGAGATATTTAAGAGATTGGGTTAGAAATTATTGAAATAAATTCGATGTTGGAAGTGGTCATTGCATTCATGAACGGGGCTAGCTAGTCTTATATCCACGCGTCGCATACGACCAAAATAGAGCATCTAACCGAGTAAGTACCATGTCATCACCATCACTTTGGTTTTCAAAATATTTATTATTATTATTATTGTTTGTTTGTAGTAAAGACAGTGGTGAGAAATCATCATGAAATTAAATATAATTAGTGGAAGACTAAATAGTTATGTCACTAAATAGATAAGCTTCACTAATCTAAGAATCTTGAACGAGTCAATGAGGTGGATTTACTGTGACAGAGGAACGTACTTTTTTTTTACCATACCGACCTGAAGTCAACTGATATATCTTCCCATTGTTTTGGCCTCACGTATAGTATAGTGTGTGTGTGTGTATATATATATATATATATATATATGCATGCACGGACAGTAGACATGAGTTGGGTTTCGCTTTCACCCCCAAGTGAAGACACAGACGACGTAGAGGAAAGAAGGGTCCAGAGACCATTATCGTACGCCCTCCTCCTCCTCGGCATTGAGATTGAGATTTTAGTTGACATGAAACCGTTGACAAACAAACGTATACAAATTTCGCATCTCAAGATTCAAAAAAAAAAAAAAAAAACATCTGAAACAAGATCTGTCCTTTACAGACAGAAGCTAACAACGAACAGTCTCTGACCAGTTAGTTCTACAAGAACAAAAGAAACCCGATCTTCATTCCTCTACCCAGATCTGGATCCATCTCTGGAGAGTCAAAAACTTCGGAGAGATTTCGGTACAGTGATGAACCTCGGAATGGTGCTTGCTTCCTCTTTTTTTTTTCAACGGGAACCTCGTATAAGATGATCAAGAACCTGAGATCAGATCGTAACAAACACATGTAAGCATACAAGGCATAGAGCCTTTTCGATGTTAATGTCAGATGAAATCATCGAAAAAACGAATACAAATTACAAGGCAGTACACTATTCAGGGTTACTTGCCATGAGAGGGTACTGAATGATCCATCCAACAAAAGGAATCTGGGAAAGAAATATCCTTACAGACGACCAAAACCCACTGCACTCGTGAGCAAACAAAGTTATTGAGGATAACCCACAGCCGAATGGATTTATTAAGTTGTTAAATACCCTTTTTAATGTTATGCTGAAAGGAGACTAGAAGAAGGAAAAAACTCACCCGAACAGGACAATGCAACCATATATCTCCAAGATAATACCGATGATAGGCCAGCGAACAAATATGAGAAAGATCCCAAGAAGGAAACAGACAGTACCCTGAAAAACACAAACAAAATTCATATATCCTTTGCCAAAATCAATCAGACCTACATCCATCTCAAAGAGATAGGTGTGTGTAGAATGGATCTGAATTTAGCAGCTTCCAAGGTAAAAACAGGGAGAGATTGGTCATGGGTCAGAGAGTAAGGTGCTGAAAATCTAAGATGATGGTCACAAGCTGTCCAAGAGGTATTGATAAGAGGTTTCTTAAATAACTTCCAAGGTAACCTTTCCTGTTTGTTGAAGATCCATTTTACTATAATGTTAAGCTCATATAAAATGTCATGTACTATGTGCTCCTGGGTTTTTCTTACATGCCAAACTGGCCAAAAGGTACTGTTTTTATGTATTGTCAGTCCGCAATTCATTCTGAAACAGTTATATGATGCAAAAGCTCAAATGGTGTTTAGCAACAGATTATCGCATACCCTCAAGTTATTTACGTTGGTAAAAAGCCTCCAAGTTGACTGCCAACCAAGCAAAAGTCCAACACCTGTTAACCAAAACAACTGAAGGCAAAGTAGCACAAATCAGAATGTAAAATTCTTCTGTAGAGGTAAGTATCATCTACAGGTATATGTATATATACCAAAAGAAATTCTCACTCACATTTCCCAGAGCAAGCAAACCTCTGTCGAAATACAAGATGACACCCAGAAATGAGAAGGCGATACCAAAACCGATGAGGCCCAAACCAACTTCTGCAGAATTAGAAATGAATGCCATAAACCAAAGGAAAAAGTAAGTGGACGGTCAGCGGAGAGAACATTTCTACGAAGAAACACAAGGATAATACAGTTCAAGCTTTCAATCTTCAGCTTTATATTTGTAACTTAATTCCCTTGTGGGAGAATGTTAACAGCCTGAATAAATAAAGCTACCCCATTGTTTATCTTGATCAACTCAGTTGTATTTATCATACAAGAACTAGTAGAACTAAAAAGCTATGCTGAAAATGCGCAAAATGCTTCAACTACTCTGACAACTAACTCCAATTGTAGCAGCGACGATACGTGGACATAACACGAGAAACAAATCAAAATCTTGAAACCTTGGAATACCGAAGATATTCATGAAACTGCAGTTCCTTGCAAGTTCAATAGAGCAAATGCTTATCTATAGAGAAAGAATTACTTTTTTGCTCAGTTATTTCATACACCATCGTGGAATGATCTGTTCGTCAGATGAAAGAGGCTGCAAAAACGTTACAATGAGGTGAGCAGAGAACTTGAAGAAACAATAAAAGAATCAGATAGCTGGGTACAAGAATATACGAAAAATATAAAAATGTTGCAGGAGCTTCAAGAAAAGAACCAATGCCCAAAGAATTTCAGACAACCAAAAAGAAGGAAGATGAGTTTTGGAATTTTGTTTCAAGCAATCAAGGTTCATGCGGAAACACTGATGAACCCAAATAGACGCTGTGACTGCTATACGCCTAACATTACGAGAAGGCAAACAAAAAAAGGTTCGAGAAAATGATTCGATTTCGATCTGTGATCTCATATTGCGAGGCCCAACAGACAGAAGAGCTATCTCATCTAGATTATGTTCATCCACCTTTAAACCCTTCATCTAATCCCCAAGAACTAACCCTGGAAAAGAATAGTTCATTCCCATCGCTTTCCATATACGAAGTTCTTTAACAGAAGCGAAAATAAGCTTAAGATCAACTAATCAAACGAGAGAAGAAATTACGAAAACCCGAAACTTGATCCCTAATTAGGGTTCATGATCACTACAAGAGCGTCAGAAAAATGAAACAGCATATACCCAGTTGAAGATTCGCTATTTTTCAGCATCTAATCAACAAATTTCGACAAAAAAAACCAAGAGGGCTCAGAGAATTCCAAACGGGAATCGGCCAAAAAGCCCAGGAATTTGCAATTTCGAGTTTATCCAGACGAAATCCACAAAGATGTAACAAAATCCCAACACAGTCTCAGAAGCAGAAAGCAAGAGAGCATACCGCAATTGCAGAGAGCAAAGAGAAGCAGAGGACGAAGAAGCCGAATTCCGAAGAAGGCGAAAAGATCAGAGATTCCACCACTATTATATTGGAGAGAGTTTCATATAAATTGTTCTGCTTTATTGTTATACATATATATATATAAGAATGCAGAATTGATTATTATCTTGTAATTTTACAGTGAACCATTCTCTTATTAAGTAATATGTCTGCAACAATAGATCATCCATATATTGAAATTATTGGCGAACCCTTCAAGATTCATCCGAGTAAAGAAACTGATTCAAAGAAATAGATTCGGGTTTATATGCATCACAGAGTCCTTCACATGTTGTTCTGAGGAGAAGCGGCTTACAACAAAAGGATAGACACTAGTGCATGTTTATGCTTTGTCTTGAGATCTTAGCTCTGTCCTCTGTTCAACGTGGACATGTCACTCCAGGTACTCAACCAGCCAAAATCTCAAGTGTCACAGAAGATCAACCCACTCAAAGATACCAAAATCTACATATCGAGAGCCCAAGATCCAACCCACCATAACAAAGTTCTTCTCTTCTTTCCATTCTCTTCCCAAATGCAGGTTCAAACCTTTAAAACCAATTGTCTAGCTGTCATTCTTGTTTCTTGAGTGAAGGGTCGGTACCAGTGGTTCCTGATGCCAATTTGTTAACGCTATCTTTTGCCTCGGCAAGAAACGCAGCGTCTGGCTTGTGCTTATCTGCAGGCTCCTTCATGGCCACACAGATGTAGAATGCAATGACTATGTTTACCGATACCACTGCCAGAAATCCACTCAATAGTGTCAAAGAATGCGGAGACAATGCCGTCACACCTGCCATGCCAAGACTAAGTAAGTTTCAGTACGGACGTCTCCTGAATAAAAAAGACAGACTGTGATCTCAGCTTAATCTTTCTGATCGGATTTGTTGGACAGACTTGAATAGCGAGTTTGAAGACAAGCAAAAGCTCATAGCAGGTTATTATCACTAACATAATATCGCCCCCTGACTTCTACCAGATCATCACTCTCCTAAAACCGTATTGTCGAACTACTAATCTCTCAGTCCAGTTAGTTCAGGAGAGCTACAATAAACACTCACAACCTGAATGCAAATGTAAAATGAGAAATTTAGACAAGGTCAATGTGAATCTAAAACTATATCGGTAAGAGCACAGGATTCTTTCAGACATCGTTCTCAAAACCCACCAAAGGATTTGTCATACTAAGTGAATATGCTTTTCAATTTGCTTGATCTATTGTTTCCCAACAGGGAGGGGGTTCAGCTGAAGGTCATCGTTCATCGTTCATCGAACACTATATATGTTCAGTTCAACCTTGCTAGTTCCAAGCCATCAATACTGAGAGAGACTCCAAATTCTGCAAGTATCACCTCCACACACTTCCTATGTTCACTAGTAGATGGCAAATGCCACTAGGACCATATCATTGATCTCGAGATGTACCGGTACTTGAACCACGAAATCTATCTTAATTAACTACACCAGATTTCTACATCAAAGATCTCTCCTTTCAACAGATGATTGAGCTAAAAACACATCCACGGATGCGTAACCAGAAGTGAAACATCTCATGAATCAAAATTAAGAGGCATCATCACCATGAAATAGGCAAAATCTGACCTTACCTGGAAACAAATCATTGTTGAATCCATACAGTACCCCAATAGGAAGAATCCACATGAACATAGATGCAACCAAGAACTTCTGTAAAACTCCAGCCATGGTAATACCACCAGAAGATCAAATCTAGACAGAAATTACATTGGAACAAAAGAAAAAAGAAAAGAGAATTCATTGATCGTTCAGATGAGGGCAGAAGAAGCGGGAAACGGTAACAGAGACAGAACCAAAGGAGATGAATCGAGGCAAGCGTAGGGTCTAGCTAGTCAACTCAGTCTCAGACATCGTAAGCGGCGACCCTTTAATAAACCTAACCCGTTATCAGATTTAAACTTCAAAGACAAATCGATCAAGCAGATAACAAGTTCATCGTCATTCAGAACCTAAGCAATTCGATGAATGTAGATGAACAATATTTAACAGTTCGTCAAAGATCCCGACTTTCGAAACGAAACAGCGGATTTAACCAACATTACGAGTAGGTAGTTCAAATCGTGGCGAGAATGGGAAAGCTAGGACATTAAATCCAAATAAGATGAAACAGAACGTTAGAACCACGAGAAAATTTCGACAAGTACAAAGGGTGTATGAATCTAAGACACGAATCTGCAGATAATCACTTCAACCAAAACCCAGGTGAAATCTGACACTTGGGGGGATGAGAGAGAGAGAGCTCACAGTGGCGGTTGCGGAAGACGCTGACGTTCACCGTGGCTGCGAGCCCGCGAAGCAAGACGCCGAGCAGTTTATTGTTGGGCCCATAAAAGGCTTTTATTAGGTATGGGCCGATAGGTTGGCCTTTACACGCGGCGATATTATGCATGTTCTAAATCGCACGTGGAACAAAAAAATGTCGCAACCCGCTCTCCTTAAATTCTGACAAAAAAAAAAAACAATATAAATGTAGTCGACTGCATAATTAAGGAACAAAGAAAACAAGAGAATAAAGGAAGGGATTGATTGGGATATGAGAAGTTAAGCAAAATCAAGAAAGAATATTACATTACGAGTTCATTCTATAAAATACTCCTCCTCGGAACAAACCAAATAATCTCAATTTCTTCTCGAGAATTAAGAAACCCCTGTAATCAGGTATGCTAATTGCCAGCGGTGAGCATCAATCATTTTGTGTTTCGATTATTTAATTTATGTTAGTTTTTATTTATATTTGGTTTGAATTTAATTAGTTGTTTTTTTAATATGTACATATAGTCGCGTTTTAGATAGAATTATTATTCAGATATGATATATACTATATTATTTAATTTGTTTTAAATTGAACCAAAATAATCTCTAATTGCTGTTCTAGTGTTGTATTTTCCCACAGTTAAATTGCCCAAAAAACAACTAGGAAAAATGATGATATCTATATGTTTCATACCTTTGCTCAAATCAAAATTGTAAGAAAGCATTGGACTAGCCAAGTATTATTAGCTGCATAGCTGTCGGCTTCAAATGTATATAAACTTGCAAATATATATATATATATATATATAGTTTTCCATCATCGGTCATTGCTCGCAGGAAATAACGTATGGATATGGAAAAGAAGATAAAAATTGGACCGACGGGGACGAACGATCCAGACAACCACTTGCTAATGAATTGGGACGATGGCGGCCGTGGCGATATATCCTACATATTTCTGTCCTTTAACGACACCGGAATTATCTCCATCCAGTTCCAATACGTGAAAGATGGGAAACCTTTCTTAACCGATCGATACGGTTCCGGTTATACCGCTGACACATTTGAGACCGTAAGTGTGTTTCTTCCATTTTTTTTTCTATATATATTTCAACACATATATGAATATATAACTATTTTTTAATTTCTTTTTTGATAACGTTTTTATTGGACTCGAACTGTTGTTACCGATGGAATTTTTTCTAATATTATATTTTAATTTTTTTCCATATTTTTATATTTTATTATTATTTTAACAATAGTGATAACTAGGACGGTCGAATTCTGTAGCGTTGAAGGGAGAAATTCGGATATATAAATATCTTGCCAGGCTCGAACTCGAGTGTGTGTATATATATCTACGTTCATTCAATTCGTTTTGATACATGGGGATCTCCCCCAGTTATGTTGGTTTGAGAGCTCATTTCCTGAATAAGAGGTCGTGGGTTCAACACCCAGGGTATGGAGATTTCCCCTCCGGCCACCTTCGGGTGCTTCACATCCCACACGTGTGGTGCCGGTTGTGCGTGTGGATCGGGATTAGTCTGGGCCCTTTGGGCCTGGGATTACCCGGTTATCAAAAAAAAAAAAAAATTCGTTTTGATACATTATTCCGCACTTCGAAAACAAAATGTCGACAGATCGAGTTGAAATATCCGGAGGAGTATCTGACGAGGATCGGAGGTGAATATTCGAGCGAGCTCGTGCAGCAGTACGGATCGTTCAAAGACCCGCACGTGAGGATGATAAAATTCTCGACCAACTTGGCCGAGTACGGACCGTACGGTGGCAGACGAGGTTACTCCCAGAAGGGATTCGCGTTCGGACTTGGCAAATCCCCTCGTCAGTTCGGTGGATTTCATGGGTCATATGACTCCAGAGGTCTCCATTCCATCGGCGTCTATCTCTTCCCCAAAACTCCATGGGAGGAAAGTGATATTACTTTGGGCTGAAGTCATATCATATCGTGTCATGTTTACTGTATTTACACATCTTTTATATATCATAATGAAATGAAAGCATTGTTCTATATCTTCCACGTGTCCCGGATTTACATTAACTAACATTCATGCTTTCGTATGTATGTGATCGCATATTCGTACGTGCTTTAATATATAATATACCCATCTATATATACGGTATACTCTTCTCGATATGATGCACGTATTACGTATACATAAAATGAAACGGAGAGGATCCAAGATCGACGTGTATTCGTCAAAGTTTGAAGGGAAAACAATGGTCGTGGCCAACTCTCTCAAATATTTGTGACCGCAGACCGAGAAGGCACACACGACATCCAATGGAAACTTTGTTTTATCAAATCCATACGGTTCCGATAATCGTTACTACGAGGGAAGCATATTATTCTACACTGTAAGTACATTCGGTTTCTCATTCAAACTACGCATACGCATATACGCTTTGTAAGATTTACGATACATACAGATCGAGCTGGAGCATCCGAGGGAGTATCTGACAGGAATCTCGGGCGAACACTATGAGTTGGCAGACAAACACACTCGCTCTCCGACCATCAAAGCTCTCATATTCACCACCAACTTGAAGAAGTACGGACCCTTCGGCCGATTGGATCCTGAAAATGTTGGATTCAGTTTCATGCTCGGACAGTCTCCTCATTTTGGCGGCTTCCATGGAACCTTCGACAACTGCGGTCTCCACGGGATCAGTGTCTATCTCAGGCCTAAATCCGGAAGCATCCCTGAGGAAAAAAGATCTCGACTTCCACCTCGGGTTGAAAGTTATCATATTTTTCCCCTGCTCTCGTATTCACGTATCCTAAATTTGTACGTACACTGCCCCTTTTTGTAAAAAGGGTGCTCCTCATTATCAAAGAAAGTAACATTCTCTCATCAATCAGTGCCCGTCGTTTGGAGGTTTCCAATATACAATGGAGAGTTTCTCAGCAAAAGCAGTTTAATCGCATAGATAACTATTGAAGTATTAACATTCTGTTAGGAAGTTGTTAGCCGGTTATTCAGTTTATATACAAGACATCGTTAAATAACCGACTAACAACTTCCTAACAGAATGTTAATACTTCAATAATAACTAATAGGCTCAACTGCAGGTATGGCAGTATAGCTTCTCCCATGGGGTTTACCCGCCAATGGAAAAAGCGGTTTTCATTCTCTGGACAAGGTGCGGAAGTGTTTTGAGATTCTCATCGATGGATTGATGGACACAAGCCTCCATTTCGTTCACAGCATCGGTCCTTATCTTTTGGAGCTTGGAGGCCTCAAACTTATCTTGACATACCACGAGTGATCTGTTCAATCTTTCCTGCATTAGTGTAAACCAAAACCAATAGACCGGTAAATGTCAATGTGTTGTTGTATGCATACAAGGCTCATGAGCTTTGGTATGTATGTACTTATGACACCAGAAAGAATTAACCGAAACAAGTGTTCTTCCTCGAGTTTAAGCTCACCTGAAACTTGGCCATTTCGTTCTCGAAATGGTGTTGCGCATTGACAACAGGAACACTGCAATGCTCGACGCAATTACTTATCTCTTCTTGCTTCCTTCTCCCGTCAAAGCACTCGTATGCGCATTTGAAGTAAGCTTGCTGCAAGTGAATCGTTTTCACCATTAATTATTCGCCATATCATAATCATATACTCACACGATCAGCGGTGCAAATTAAATTATAAGAACAGATCAGAGACAAATACAGAGTGAAACCATGCGGTTTTCGGACATCTTCATAAAACTTGAACTAGAGTTTGCAGAGACAAAACTCAAACCAAACATGACATGAAACCTGACTGATCGTCTTGAGAAACATGGCTTTTCAAAAAAAAAAAAAACTCGCCTTTGAAGTACCATTACAGTCTAAACCCTTCTAAAGGATACTACACAGACCAACATCTCTCACCATCCTTTTTCCATTTTAAAGAAGCATCACATTAATTCTCTGGGTTTTCAGGCCAAATTTCGGTTTCTAACCCCATTTTTAAAACTTGCTAAAATGTTCATCAGAAGAACCCAACAAGGGAAACACGGGATGTACAACATCAAATTGCGATGAAAACGCAAATATATGCACTCAAAGCCAGGACAACAATACAAACATATGCATGTGTATGTCAGTGCGTGAGAGAGAATCGGAAATGGAGAAAGAACCTGAAGAGTGAAATTGATATGATCTTGGACAGGAGAGAGCTGAGACTGAGCAGCCGCATTCACTTCCTCCAGTTTTCTTCTAAGCCTCTCCGATACGATTTGCTCCTCCACCGCTGCTATGTGATCCATCTCTCTCTCTCCCCGTCTGATGCGCGTAATTCCGATGTTAGGGTTTTAGGGTTTATCTGCTCTTTCGAAGCCCCAAGGAAGCAAACGGGTTTGACCTCGCGGTTCAGATTTAGGCTTCCCGGTTTTTCTCTTTACACGGCCCATAATTTCCCAGTCCTCCACCATAACCGGTCCGGTCTGGTCCAGATGACAAACCGGACTCGACCAGTTCCGGTTATCGGCAACAATGATGATGACGACCACGTTCATCTCTGCTCCGATTGCCGCTCTTTTGCCGAGTACGTGAAGGACGAAAATTTAACATTCCTTGCTATTCGGTTCTTGTGGAATTCGCCGCCTGAATTGTTTTACACCAGGGATTTGATCTGATTCTGGAGCTCTTAGGTCGCAAATTCTGGATTCATGGTATGGGTTTCGATTGTGGGTCAACGTTGTTTGATTAAATTCACGAACTTCTCTGTGTAAACTTGGTAACTGAAATCATCTAGATGAGAATCTGAATGAATTGAGTAACAGATAAAGAGAAACATCAACGGTCTTTGGTAAAAAGGGGATGCTTTATTTTTTCAGAAGGGGGCGATGAACAAGTAAGAAACGGAATGAGACGGATTCCAGAGAATGAAAAGCGAGCTTTTGTCTGAGTTTTAGTGTTCAAATGTCGGTATCATACTGTGTAATGAGTTCACCGGTCAGGCTTTGTCCAAGAAAGGCTTTCCCTTAGTTTGATCAGCGGTGAATTTTAAAGATAGTTCGTCTTCGACGATGAACAAACTGATAGGTGATGAACTGTGACGTTGGAAATAGGCAAAAAGGAAGAAACTTTTTCACAATTTCTCCATGAAACGACGGCGAAAAGTTAGCTAAACTTACATTTTGTGAATAGTATACAAGTTCAGGAAGTAGGGATGCATCACCCATCAAGCAATTAGGCATGTAGAAGTAACAGAACAGCCATCACTCATAAGAAAAACAGTTAGCTGTCCTGAACTGATCTTCAAATCTTGATCTGTATATGCTACAGGTGCTACCGTTGAAACGCTTACACTTTGTCAAAGATCTGTAGAATTCGATGTTATGGGTAAGAAATCTATCATTGGAAGGGTGGTGGGTGAGACCTGAGGCCGAAAGCTGGAGGAGGAGGAGGAGTCTTGACAGGCGCCCAGATATCAGCCCCGTTGCTTTGAGAAACTCCTGATGTATACGAGATCGGGACAAGGCATAAGCCTCTGTTTCTCAAGCTGTAATAATGCTCCATCTCCTCCTGGTTTCAAAGACAACCACAGAGAACACAGATCAGTTTGGAGCAGAGTCAAGAAACCAACAGACTAATCTTGAAAGACCGCAACCCAGAATTGTAGATGCAGTCACAGAATTAGAGAGGGGTCAAGATTTAGCTCACGTGAACTCTGGCTTCTGGGTTAGTCAGTAGATATGGAGCACTTAGCACCTGTATACACGAAAAGCTGACTCACTTGTCTGAATCAAGAGAACAGAGGAGAAGAAAAGGCTTTTATGGTTTAGGGTTAGAGGAGGAAAGTAGCACAGAGACCTTGACTTGTTCATGAAGAAACTGTATGTACTGCATTGCCTCCAGAAGAACCGATGCTGTATCCGTCTGCAATGGGAGTTGAAGAAAAATTAGAGAGGACCGACACTTTTCCGCAGAGTATTTATAGCAAAAACTAATTATCTTGTCTGAAACATACCTTTCCATAAGGGGAAACTATCTGTTGAAGAGCTGATATACGTTCTCCCACCCTGTCCTTCCTCTCCTGTTTCCCCATGTTTTTGAAGAGACATTAGCAAAGGCATCAAACCCCATCTGTTGATTTCATGAATTCAGACAAGACAGAGACCGGATGATGAATGGAACAGAATGAAGAACCTTTGAGGAAAAGGAGAGATCGGATCTGTGGCGTTTAGGTGAAAGAGAACCGAGGCTGCTTTCTTCAAGAGAGCAGAGACTCCGTTTATTTTCCATCACCATTCCCGCTTCTCTAGAGATTTCCATGCCTTGTCGGAAAACAAAACCTCAAGACACATTCAAGATTATCACAGACAGACACGACAGAAGACAACGCAAGAAGCTTTCACGGCTTAGATACAGTGTTAGGCCCAAATCAAAAGTAACAGCGAACCGGAAAAAAAAATCAATTTTTTTAAACATTAAACGTTCAATGATACTACCAGTGATCTTATGTATGAATGCAAAAGAGTAATGACATTGGAATCAAATATGGGTTTGGGCAAAAACCCGTGCATTAGAAAACGGAGCAATGGGTTATAATAATATTAGCCGCCAAAGCACAGTCAAAGCAGTTGGCAGGGGGTCATGGTCAGAGGTTTTAGCCCTTCATTTCACATCACAACAGGGATTATTTAAATGTCTCAACACATTATCAGCTAACCTCAAGATTAAGTATGCAATCATCCCTGCTAGATTATACACCCTAACCTCAAGATTAAGTATTATATATAATATAATCAGCAGATTAAAGATGTATAATTTACATAAATAACTAAAGGGTTAATGGATTAAGTCGCAAAATAAGTTACGAATGAGTTGTATGGATATCAATAAACGAAGAGAGTATGCAATAAACAACTAAAATTAGCAAAGATTAAGGGGAATCAAAAGAAACGTTGGGGGGGGGAAAATTTAACATTCCTTGCTATTCGGTTCTTGTGGAATTCGCCGCCTGAATTGTTTTACACCAGGGATTTGATCTGATTCTGGAGCTCTTAGGTCGCAAATTCTGGATTCATGGTATGCAGCATTTGCAACAAAGAGCCCACCAGAAAGAATCTAACAAAAAAAGATTCACAGTCCTCAAGAACCCACCACTCAGAACTTCGAAAGATTCGATTTTTCTTCGTCTTAACCCAGAAAGTAAAAGGTTTTTGCACAAGTTTTTACCGATCCGGAAGCGTTTTCCGCTCTTCGGCCTTTCTTGGTCCATACATACGAAAAGAAGAGAAATTCTCAAAAAGAAAAAGAAACCCTAAAGAAGATTCATTTGTCTGAAACTCATCAGTGTTTTCCTTTTCAGCCTGACTTTATGGTTTTTGGAGCTCGTATCTGGGCTTTTGCAGAGCTTATGTCGTCCGAAACGGCGTCGTTTCTGAGAGAGATCGCAAAAATCTCAGCAATAGAAAAGGAGAGAGAGAGAGAGAGAGAGAATACCGTGTACGAAAGAATTCTGAGGAAAGCAAAATCAGAGAGGGACCCCCTTGCTGATGTCTTTTTCTCTTCTTTGTTTGTTTGTTTTTGTTTCTTTTCGGGGTGTGAAGTAAATGTTCATTCATTTCTCGTTTGTATGTATTTATGCATTTTGTGTTGGCTCTTTGTTTAATTACTTTCTCAATTAATTAATTATATACTAAAATGAAATATCCTATCTTCCGCTCTTTTTTTCTCTTAACGTTTGGGATCGGAATTTACAACGCCTCGTAGTTTTAAAGGCTAGACAAATGATACGGTATCGCGGATAGTAAATCCACACGACCCCACGCAATAGTCGATAAACCATACGGAACAGATAAACTAGTTGAAACTGACCGGTTCAAAGAAAAACTCAAATATTCTGGAGTTTTGTTTCAAAGGTATTGAGTTATCATTAACTATTGGACTGGGGTTTCCTCGTATCTTCCACTTTTTATATATGATATTTCAATATGCAGTTTTTAAAACTCGAATAACCAGCCAAATTCCTTAAAAAAACATGAAACTTACGTGAAATTTTAATATCATCAAATTAATACCAATATAAGATTACACATCCTTTGTCGATAATATACACATGCAGAATCAGACGTGGTTAGATCAACTGATAAATGGGAATACGCAAAGAATGTTCTACCCAGGTTCGAATCTCACCCTAATCAAATCACATCTTATAAAAAAAAATATACACATGCAGCTTAAAATTTTCTTAGAATTTATATTTCTAAACGATTTACATGTATATATATATATATATATATATATATATATTCATAATTTGGCAGCTAATCTCCAACCAATGCAAGAGAGAAAGAGTCCGAAGTTCTTATAAGACTCCCAGGTACAGGTCGCTATTCATTTCAACGTAAATAAAAAAAATAGAAACTAATAATGTGAAATTGACACTTTTTTTTGAAATATTTTTATTTATTTTAATTTCCCAGATGTTTCGACCGATTCTGCTGCTTCTGTCTTTCCCTTTTTTTCAACGTTTTGATTTTTGTCTGCTTTGAAATTTCGTCACTTTCTACCACAGCGTTTGGTGCAGGGCGTACCCACAGTGGTGATATGATATCTAACAAGTCAGTCCATTTTACAATTTAGTTACTTTTACTCCTTGTAAACATATTTTTATTTATTTTTTAAGTATAAATAGAATATTAAATCACATACTTCTTCTAAATAATATCTATTTGATTGTTTCCAAACTAATTTCTATTTTTCATTTGAATTCTATTTCAATTTAAAAATGCTAGTTTTGTTATTAAAATTTTAAAAAATCTATAAGAAAAAAGTGAACAAATATAATTTTTTTATAAGGAAAAAAGAGAGAGAGGAAGTTACCAAAGCTGCGATTGGATTTTTGCTTTTTCCATAGGGATGCGAAAATGTGAAAGAAAGAAAGAGCGGTGAGACGTAACGCGCGGTCTCTGCGTCCACGTTGGAAAACGTGGCGGTGTGGAGAATCGCGTTCGGAAAACGCCGGGATTCGTGGGACATAACAGAGACGACAAGTTTATGTTGGGACCCACGCGCTTTCGGTGTTCGTCACTCTCTGATCTTATCCTCTCATTCTCGTATCCAGACTGCGACGTGTTTGGATTCCGGCTTTTGGGTTTTTTTTTTAAAAAAAAAACTTTGTTATGATTAGATTCGATTTTTGAAAATGAATTTATACCGGAAGCGGACTGCGTTTTGATCAAGACTTCAGCCGTAACCGAAAATATTAAATATTACACAATTCCAACCAAAGTTCAATGATCAAACGATTACATATTCGAATTTAAAAAAAAAAAACTGAATTAAAATTTCACTCCAAACGGCCGAACCCATTGGGATTTGGGCCTTGTTCTTGAGATGGGCTAAATGGCCAGTAAGTATTTGCACTCGAAACTTCAAACGTATTTGAATTGTTTTATCATGGGAAAAAGTCCATGTTCCGTATCCGTACCATATGATTACGATCTCATAACATATGGTTCCATATGCATATAATAAATAGAATGTAATGGTACTTACTGTTTATATTTGACTGATTTTTGGCATTCAACGGCGTCTTAGATACTTGAATTCTTTTTGGAGATAAATTCCCCCTAATCAAGTCTTTTGAATTTCAATAAAACGGGGAAACGAACAATCTAAATATATTTTACCGAACCAAAATCAAAGAAAATCGGCCATATAACCCCAATATTATAGTTTATAGAACGCGGTGAAAGAAAATCTATCAGCAGTATATAATCCACAAACAATATTAATTTGACGTAATTTCAGGAGTTGAAAAGGAAAAAGTCAAAATCTATTTTTTGTTAGAAATGGATCTCAATTTCAGGAGATGAATTATTAATTTAGCACAATTTCAGTTAATTTGATATATTTTAACGTTTCAGATATTATATTATCAAATCAAAAGTCAAAGTATTTGTTTGACACATTTTTAAAAAATTGTATCATTTATATAAATTTTTTCCTAAAAAAAATATCAGAAAATAATCGTATTTAAGAATAAGACAAAAAAAAAAAAGATAAAATTATCTTAATGTATATTCCATGCACGTAAGCAATGACGTCGTAATTCGTTATTTTTCCATACCATTTTCCTCCCAAGAGAATCTCACTAAAGACCAAAGATAGCCAGGTCTGGTTCTGTCACTAAACTCCATATCATATCTTGTAATAATCAAATTATCAACAAAATGATGAATGTCTGTTTATTATATATATATATATATATATATATATATATATATGTACATGGCATAAAAATGTGGGATTTTCGATGCATAATGGATTAATTAAGTTTCCTACGTAGTTTATAGATGATTTCGTTCCGATATGCACGCTGTGTATTTCAGAAACGCATCATTTAAAAAAAACAGTGACGCTTATTTTATGATACTTCAGATATGTTGTTCGAGTTCGAGGCATAGTTATGATTCGTCACATGGTGCTAACAAAGGATATTTTTTCAACTTTAATATATTTAATAAAAATATAATAAATACTGGCCGGGCTAAAAGTATTACATATAAAGTTTTATATAATTTGACTATTTTAATTCAAATTAACTGATTTGAGGGGGGGGGGAACGAATAAATTAAAATCAGAACCCAATTGTATTTCATTTTTTTTTTATTGGGCACAACATTTAATCATCCGGTTCGGTTTCTTCAGTTCTATAACAAAAATATATATCAATCAATTTTACATAAACAGATTCGATTTCAATTTCTATTAAAAAAGAACAGATTTTATAAAAATCGAATTTTTAGAATTTTTAAAAATTCGATTCGATTTCAAAAAAATTTATTCTCTTGAAAAATTACCGTTAATAAATATTGAATAGTTCAATTCGAAAACAGTTTCGAATTTTTGCCCCCAGCGTAGAAACCGTATATCTGTCTACACAATGAATAAGGCAAACCTAATACATTGGGTTGACCAATTTGACATTATTTGACCAATCTTCTCCGACCCGACCCGACCCGTTATCATCTCTATCACGTTTATATATACATATATATATATATATATATGTATATGTGTACACGCTTATACTGCCATACATAAACATCAAAAAAAAAAAAAAGAGAGAGAATGGGAGAGGAAGTGAAATCTCAAGCAAAACCACATGTATTGGTCTTGCCATTTCCAATACAAGGCCACATCAATCCTCTTCTCCAATTCTCCAAACGCTTGATCTCCAAAAACGTCGCCGTCACCCTCCTCACCACCTCCTCCACCCACACCACCATCCTCCGCCGCGCCTCCTCCTCCCTCTCCGGCCGCGCCTCTCTCCCGCTCGCCTTCGTTCCCCTCGACGACGGCTTCGAAGAGGGCGCGCCTACAGGCGCAACGGCCGAGTACTTGGCCATGTTCAAGAACAAAGTCTCCCTCAGCCTCTCGGATCTCATCTCCTCCATGGATCCGAAGCCAGCCGCCGTCGTCTACGACTCGTGCCTCCCGTGGGCACTCGACGTCGCCCGGAGATTCGGGGTCGCCGGGGCTTCGTTCTTCACGCAATCCTCCGTCGTGAACGCGCTGTACCACCATTTCATAGAGGGGAGGTTTCGGGAGTTTCAGGACGAGGTCGTTTTACCGGCGATGCCCGTCCTGAAGGGAGGTGATCTTCCGGTGTTTCTTTACGACCGGAGCATTTGCCCTCCGCTGCATGATTTGATCTGTAGTCAGTTCTGTAATGTCGACGAAGCTCAGTTCTTCTTGGTCAATTCTTTCGAGGAACTCGAGGTCGAGGTAAGAGTGCCGGACACGTGTAATTAACCCCTCTCTGTTTTAGTTTAAAGCAAGGACAAAATTACAATTTAAGCCTTAGCAATTACAATTTAATCAGAGAGATTGAATTTCCATATAAGCATTAACTAGGTTATAGAAGACATCGATGTATATAGTAGAAGACATCAGAATAAGACACGAACGCCGCATTGTTCCGGCAGTCGTTTGAATCCATTGGTTCTTGATACGTGACAAACATAACATTAACGATTGTTACCATTTACAACAGTGATGAGAACACGACAAAAGCACCTTTAGACAAACATTAAGACTATCTAGGTATAGTAAATAAAATTATCTTGTTTATTCTAAGTTTTCTATTTAATTTTTTTTTTATAATCCTGAAGTTTATCAACCTAACTGTCTATTTTTTTTTCATGTATTGGGAAATCTTATCCTATTAAAAATATTTGGACAAGAACACGTGTCTACTCACGAAAATGAATACGTGTCTCTAATGTTCACCATACTATATATATATATATGAAAAAAAATAAAAAAGTAGGTAAATCCGACCATAGAAAAACATAGAGAAAATGAATCTACTCTCCCCAGTTTTCTATGATAATAAAAAAAACGCATTAAAAAATAATTCTTTCAATTATCCGATAACTTATTTATTCACTCTTTCCTTTCCAAACTTTTGTTTTTTTTTTTTGGAAAACATTTTTCCTTCACAAATATATTTGGTGAAACGTTTACATGCATATTGAATATTGATTTCCCCATAATTACATATATATATTAAAGCAAACACTCTCTTCAGTTGTTTTACTCGAATTATAAAATTTAAAAAACGCATATCGGCCATATATATATACGTGCGTGCATATATATTATTAGTTTGTATAGCAATTTATGACAATTTTTCTTGCAATATCCTTGATCTCTTTGTTTTAAGATATTGGAATGGATGGAGAACGTTTGGCCAGTGAAGAACATTGGACCGACGGTCCCATCAATGTACCTAGACAAGCGGTTAGGCGACGAAAAAGACTACGGCCTCAGCCTCTTCAACCCCAAAGTCGACGAATGCCTCACGTGGTTGGACACAAAGCCACCCGACTCGGTCGTCTACGTCTCCTTCGGAAGCTTAGCCGTTCTCAAGGACGACCAGATGAACGAACTCGCGTCCGGTCTGAAACAGACCGGCCACTTCTTCTTGTGGGTGGTCAGAGAGACCGAGTCAAGCAAGCTCTCGAGCAGCTACCTGGAGGAAATCTCCGAGAAAGGGCTGATAGTGACTTGGAGCCCTCAGCTTCAAGTCCTTGCCCACAAATCCGTAGGTTGTTTCGTGACACACTGCGGGTGGAACTCGACTCTCGAGGCTCTTAGCCTTGGAGTGCCCATGGTCGGGATGCCGCAGTACAGCGATCAGCCCACGAACGCTAAGTTCATAGAGGACGTGTGGAAGGTCGGGGTTCGGGCGAAGGCCGACAAAGAGGGGTTCGTGACGAAGGACGAGGTCGTTCGATGCGTAGGTGAACTTATGGAAGGGGAGAAGAGCAGAGATGTTAGAAGGAATGCTGAGAAATGGAGAGAGTCGGCGAAAGAAGCTGTTTCCGAAGGAGGCAGTTCTGATAGGAACATTGATGAGTTCGTCGCTAAACTTTGGCAAATGAAATAATAAAAAAGGTATTATAATAACAATAATGTATCATCATCATCATCTGTACATGTTGTTTTTTCCACGTTTGAATGAGCTATGGTTTTGCCGATATAAGTTGATGGTTTTGTTGTATAATCTATAATTTTACGTTAATATGTGTTCAGAAATTCGTTGGATGTGTTCATGATTTTTTTTTTTTTTTTTTTGGGTGTTAGGTTTGGATGAATTAATTTTTGCATGAGCTGTGTTGACAAAGACGTTGGTCCACTGGCTATCCATGCAGAGAGGGAGCTCTTAGGCCACATATATTCATATGGTGCAAATTCTATATGGCCATGCATGCCCTACCATGTTTTGTATCATAAATGTCTACTTCTAGTAGTGATTACGGTAGAAAAATAAAACGGGTAAATAAATAAATAAAAAAATCGAAAAGAGAAAAACAACGAGAATATTTTTATTGTTGCATCTTTTCTTTTATTGTTATATTATAATAAAAATAAAATATATATTTATAAAAAAATTAAGAAACGAATCTCTAAAAAATATAGATATAATAAAAACAAATCAGATACATAGTATTTAACATAATAATATTATATCTATTATTATTCTCAATCATATCTCAAAATCTTATTTTATTCCCATCGCATCTTCATTTTTTTTATTTTAACAATTATTCGTACGAGTATATATTCTCTACTTACCTAATTTCTCACGTTTTTAATATTCCGAATGTTGTTGAAAAAGAAAATAAACAAAACTAAAAAATTCGACACAAAAGAAGACAAATCATACACCATTTCTTTAACTATTGTTTTTTGTAACTCTTAAAACATATTATCGTTGAATTCGGGTATTGTGGGCGTCATTATCTTCTTCCTTGTAATAATCTTTCGCCGAAACTACTTGAATCTGAAAAACGAATAAAAGAAGTAAAGGACCACACCATGATACTACGAAGATTTATAAAACAATAATAATAATAATAATAATAAGTATTATTATTATTATTATTATTATTATTATTATCAGTAATTAAATACTTATATAATTTTTTTTGTAGAGATAATCATAATATCTATCAAGAAGATAATTACTAATACTAATACATATAAATTATATAAACTATTTTTAGCGGATGAATTTACTTGTACCTTAAGGCACGTCATTGATGTTTTTTTTTTGTTGTGCTGGTTGCCGAACTGAGCGAGTTGTTCCTGGATACTCCTTTTCCCTCGGAGGTTTTGCCTCTGCGGAGTGGGCCGTCGTTACAATTTATTTGTTTTTATTATCTATTGTCTTTGTTATCATTCATACCGTTGTTGGACCATATGCCCTTAGCATTTCCCCATTTTCTATAAAAAATATATATATAATGTAACATGCAGATTATAGATACGGATTTACGAGGCGTGGATACGAAATAATTGAGATTGAATTTTTAGATAGATACATTATACAACTGAAAACCACTAATTGCAGCACAAGACATATTTTTTAAAAAAAAAATTTAAACTACGAATCCATATTTATCAAACTTGGTCAAAGAATTTATTTATGTATTGTATATATAGTATAAGTTTATATATATATATATATATGGCTTATTAACAAATGTTATCTGATCTGAATTTTGTTTATATCAATCTCAATTAACTATAATTAGCAAACCCGTATAATCGGTGACAAATACACATTACAACAATATAATTTTAGCTATATATATATATATGTGTGTGTGTGTGTGTGTGAAATACATGTAATTTTTGTCGCTTTCGTCATATTATGCGAATCAATAGTAATAAACATGTGATTTGTGTCGTAAACTTCGGCGATCATCTCTCCATCAACTGCTCCACCACTCACATGTCACTAATTTCTCTAGGAATTTATAATGGATTCATGTTTCCTACATTACATATATATATATATGTATATATATATCCAAATCATCGAGCCATAAAATGAACCTAGTGATTCATGAAAAAGTTTCCATATATATATATACATATATATTAGTTTTACATCAAAGAAATAAATCTGAACAAAATAAAGACGTGGTTTAGTGTATAGTTTTGTTAGAAAATTTACATAAATTGTACAAAATATTAATAGGGAAAATAGGAAAATCGTATGGATAATAATTAATAACCTGTGGTATCGCGTCTGATCCATATTCACTGGCTTTCTGATCACAATGATTAGTGAATAATTGGGTTTGAATTAGCGAGAAGTCGTTAATCAATCACATGCCAAAAACTAATTTTTATTCCTCTAACAATTTAATTAAATTAATGTCTATTTTACGTCCACACTATGGCTTATGCGTACGTTCATGTTGCCCTCTCATATGGTTAATCCCAATTACGTACGTGACGACGTGCCAATTGTACTTTACATTGTAACATATACATACAGACGTATAATGTGTATGTAATCATCATATTTTTGTACATATTACGGTATACAATCATGTATAAAAACGATATATATATAACGATGACCACAAAGGATTATCTTTGTGATTCATGATATGTATGTATGTAATCTAATTTTGAGTTGTTCATCCGGTGAAACGGGGACGGAAAGCGTATGTCCCGTTCCGAATTCGAGCATGTTTGTCTTCCAGTCGCGAGATTAGTCTGGACCTTATTCCAGAATATCCCGGTTATTCCAAAAAATATATGTATGTGTATGTATGTATGTATGTATGTATGTATGTATGTATGTATGTATGTATGTATTTAAGAGAAGAATTGATCGGTTATCCACAATAGGTATTCTATTTTCTTGGACAATTGACAAACATCTCTTACAACAACCGGTAAGAGAATTACAAAAATATATATCATGGAATTTTCAAATATGATAATATTTTATGCATGCACCACGCATATAATAAATGGCCCGGATTAAATGACAATCATTACTCTTAAACTTGAATCAAATCATGTGGGAATCAAATTATTGTAGATGAAATGTGAACTATTATATCATATGACTATTTCATAAAATCCTCAATCATAGCACATGTAGATCATACCGTTAACCCAACTCCCCAATGCCCTAATTAAAACCTATAAATACCCAACAAAATCCCCAAAAAGGGCATCGTCATTACACAAAACACAATCTCACACATACACATATATACACGGATACACACACAACTTAATATATCTCACCCTCTACATGCATTCACACCGCAGTGAAATGACGAAATTAACCCTAACGATACGCCTTCTCTTCACAATCCTCTTCATCAACCGCTCTAACGCAGCCGCCAGCACTTTCAACGTCGTCAGCTTTGGCGCCAAACCCGACGGCAAGACGGATTCGACGACGGCAT